TGTGTAGCACTTTAATGCCTTAAAAGTTCAATTCTGCTAAAGAACACAAAAAAGTTGGTATAAAGGCTTAACCTAAATGATCTAGCTGAAGGAAACTCCCAGTGAGAAGCAGTTTGCGAAATCATTAATAAATCGAGGAACTCTTGAATGATGTTTGTGGGCTTGAATGGAAGCTTGCAGAGTGTTCTGGCTTTGGCCAGTTTGAGCTGGCAATTTAGCTGGAACCACTGCCCATCTCTCATTATGAACATACGAAAAAAGTACCAGATTATGTCAGAAGACATAGTCCCAAGTTATCATTTGGTGATCACATACAGACATCTCTGTTGAATTGTATTGTGCAGGCAGTATTGAATGGACAGGAAAAAATGCAGCTTACTCATTAAGATAGTTTAAACCTGACAGCCGGTTCACGAACTAAACAAAACTAAACTTAGTGGTACCACAGCAGCCAAAACATTAAGGATGACTTTGCCCTTCAATGACATGAGTTGTGATTTTGGGAGGTGGGATTATTGTAATGAAAACCAGGGTTTTAATATCTTGGGAAAGCAGTCGTAGCGATTTGTTGCTGTGCAAATGAATCTGAACTGATTTGAAGATTTTTTTTTATTAAACTTTAATTTTCCACAAGTCATATAAACATGTCATATAAACACTTAATAGAGAGTGCACTAATATTTTTAATGCTACCACAAAAAGACAGAAAAAACATGTATGTCCACACGAGGAAAAAAGAAAATGGGGAAAACATTTTTGGGGGTTTTTAATGACCTGATAAAAGTTGTAGGAAATTTCCTTATTTTCTAGCTAAAGTTTCTTGAGAAAGTCTACTGGCAGGAACTTTGGGTTTCCATTCAGTCTTTTTTTAACTCTTTTAGGGAAGTTTATTCTGTCCTTTCTGTAGTTTCATAGTCAGCATACAGATACGAGGGAGGTATCCATCTAACACTCAAGACAAAAGATTAGCATACATCCAAAAATATCACATTATTCCTCAGCCAGAGAAATTTCTATTCATTCACCTCTCACCAAGACTGACCCTCACAAACCCATTTTTGGTTTTCATCTGAAGGAGAACAGAGGCTTTTTGTCCAGAGTTACAAAAGATGGTCATCCGGCTGGTGGAAATTAATAAGACAGAAAGATCGCTGTAGGTTGTTCACATAAAAAAGACCAGTGATTTGTGTTTCAAACCTGTGAGGTTCCCCAATAATTATGGCTAGTTGGCTGTATGATTTTTAACAGAAAAAAGAGAGGATGAAATGGAAATATTCTGATGGGCCTTTCCCACGCGTTATCCGATCCCTTTTACTGCCTTTCACACCGTGGCCCACTTTGAAACGGCGTCTTAGGTTCGTCTTGTCGTCCCTCCAAGTGGAGCCGATGTTACGCACACCAGGATGGAGGAGGAAACCAGGTGCCGGTGGCATTCGCGACGTGTGTTTTTCTGAAGTGAGAGCCACGGGTGAGGTTGTATTAATAGTTCTGCTTGGTGAACATATCTCTCAACACGTTCCAGGTCTGTGACCTTGTTTCCTCGTTCATCATCCTGTTCCGTCCCGCTCGCTGACAGAGCAGTCTCTTCCCTCTCTGGCTGCTCGACTTTATGTCCTCTGACCAGCGCACACACTTTGACACTGAAATGTTTAACCTGCTGAATAGTTAAGGTACTAATCCGCCTAACTGCTTTCAGAGATAACTCTTAAAACACATGCTTGTAGAGTAGGTAGGGGTCATCGTGTTTTGTCTACACCCCTTTACAAAGTAGGTGAAATCAGAGATTTTGCCCTATCACCTGGCACCAGCCAATGCAACAAGTAGCATGAAAAAGATGTGGCCCAACAGATTGGCTCAGACATCTTACCCTGATACACCCTGAAACACATAATAGACATGTCCTCCAAAACTGTTGCAGTTATTTTATTATAATAAAATTTCAGTTATTTAATAAAAGAATAAAATAACTGTTATTTTATTACAGTAGGCTAATTTCAAGTATTCTCCTATAACAGAATATAATCAGCAATATGTAGTTAAATATGTTATTCATAATGTTTTTTGTTGAGCATTATGAATCCTGTCATTTATGGTCAGACGATGAACCAGTGAAAGGCGCAACAAACCACAAACCAGGGTCACTTTCTCACAAGCTACTCTGGAATAAAGCAGGGCTGTGAGGCCAGATCCTCGTGACATTAAGGTTGTTTTTCAAAGCAGCAGTTAAAGTGCCCTAAATGACTGTGGAAGCTCTAACGGCTGAGTGTCTGACCGGCTCAGTTTCTCGGGACAGACCTGAGTGTTGTATCAACTTACTTATGAAGCTGGTGGATGAACTGCCTCACATTTCATTGTATTGATCGGTCTGATGGGGTCATTAGATTGTTTATTTTTTTCAGGCAACGGCTTCAGATGGAAGATTAGTTTACCATTTCTAATAAATGATGTTTTTGATGTGTTGATAGATGGGCAAGACACGTCGTCAGTACAGATAGAGGAACCTGTGGTAAACAAGAAAAAAATAGCGATCGTCATCTTGAGATCAGAGCACAGTGGGACCATCTGTTGCCTGTTTTTTATGAAGGTAGTTCTTTGATTCACAATTCGTGGGCTGAGGTTGTTGTCTTTCAATAATTTTAAACTAAAACACACCAGATAGCAACCATCTTATAGTTTTTTTAGTTTATAGCAAAATGGGGTCCACATAATTAACTCAATATAACATAACATAAACTGGATGATGGAGAAGGGGCGCTAACGGCTCCTCAGGAAGCTAATCAAGTCCTCCAAAGTCCTCCTGACATGTCCTATAATCACCCACATGCACTGTAAACAGGATCCTCTGGCTTTGTCCCTGCAGCTGCAGTGGATTACCCTCCTGTACTGTACCGTACCATCTCCTTCATTATTGAGCAGGGTGTGAGCGGGATGACTTTACTGTGGGGGCTCATGTCTGCTGAGGCTCAGCTGCAACCTGAACCTGTCTGCTCACAGGCCCTGGCAGAGGGTCGCTGCAGCAATGCACAAAACACTATCCAAGGCCAGGCTTGTAAAATATTGAAGAGAACAATGTGCTGACAATGGGGCGTCTGTACAATGGGAGCAATGGCAAAGGCAGAGCTATGTTTTCTGATGTCCTCCACGGGCATTCTTATTTTTATCTATGTTAATCCAGTGATGCTGTATGTGCAATGTTCAGGGTTAAAGCTTGCTGTTCAAATGTTCTACTGTAAGTTTAGCTTTGTTTTACTTTTACAAGCCCTAAATTAGACATATCTGTCTTCTGCTGTGCCATAAATGTGTTTCAAATGGGACTAGAATAGTCCTGTCTCTAATTGTGCTCTACCACAATGCAGAGTTTTGGGATCATTTCCCATTTACAACTCTTCTGGAGAAAGCTGCGGCCAAGCAGAATCGGAATGATTTGACAGAGGTCTCAGTCCATCATGAAAACACCCGAGCAGAAATGCTCCACTAACAGCTTTGGCCAGAACACTTCCTTTGGTTTCAGTGAGGGCTGTGAAGCTGCGCAGCAGCCAGCACCCTGAGGGGCTGTTTTACTCATGCAATTAGGAGGCAGTTAATTGTCGATATGCTCATTGTAACATGATTACAGACTTCACTGAGCAACAAGGATCTTTTTAATGAGGCTCTTTGTAAACAGAAGTTAAACACAAGCAATCTAGTTACTAAATGTACAGACCAATTGTTCACTAGTGCATTTCTTTGCCTGAAATCTGTAGCTTGATATGCAGCCTGCTTTGAAAACAAAAAATATAAGTGAACAGAGAAATTCTACAAGCACTCATGTTGGTCTAGTGAAGTGCTTTTTGTTCATGTCAGATTATTATTCAAATCCTCTATGAAAAATAAATATAAAAAGCATACAGTCACAAAAAAACATTTTTTTAGTGGCTTTTAGGTTTTACCTTTTTTTCAAAACATACATGCAGCCCACTCAGTGACATGTGATGCTGCTGAGAAATTAAATGGTTGTACAGTGTTTTTAGATGCTATGCTCAGAATGTGTTTTGCTAGTCACTGCGACAATTCTGCAATCTTTTCACGGCTTCATAACTCACCCACGCTAGAACAAACGGTCCCACTCAAACACGCTGTCCCAAGCAGCCACAAAGCACACATCTGCACACATGCACTGACTTCCGCCTGCCTCTCTACTCCTTTTCATTTTAACCGTCCTATACAGCCCAGTGAAAATATAGTAGATTTCCTCCCACATGCACACTTTGACTCCAGCACATGTTACATCACCACTGATGGCCCATTTGATGTTTTTTACACTACCAGATTATCTCATGAGGAAGATATCGCTGACATATGAAGGTTTTTCCTGTTGTGATCATATGGTTTGAGTCCCTTTTGAAACAATGTATAACCAAAGGAGTTATTTCAATGCTCGACAGCTCTGCAAAGGGACTGCATTTTTAAAAGAGAAACCATAGGCAACTTTAGCCTAAATCGAAGACTCAAACAAAGCTGTAATTGTCGAGGGAAAGTTTGGCCTTCACTTGGCTTTGAGACGGTTTTGGAGCAAGCAATTGTGAGTAGTCAGGCTTCCGCATTGCTGCAAGGGAATTTAGTCAGAGGGAGGCTGAGGGACCCTGGTGCGCTGTGAGAAATTTCAGTTGATGCCATGGTGGGCATGCTTAAGACCCACTTCCTGTCTCTGATTTTCCCTGGCATTTTACTGAGCGCGCATACACACACATTCTCATCAACCAGCTCATGTGTTGCTGTCTTTTCCTCACAAATCCATCCTACATGCGTCAGTGCTGCGGTGGAGGCAGCATCCAAATCCACACAAAGTCCTGTTCTCCTCAGCTTCCATGACTTAAGTAACATGAACAGAGAGGCCAATGAGGATGCGTATTCATTTGTGCCAGAGTATGAAAAAAAAAAAGAGGCTTAAAGCGTCCTGGTTTCAGCTGGGGTGTGAAAGCATCACAAATCAATGCCAACTCAGTGCTATATTAATGTAAATGTATTTCTCTGTTTTTGACAGAAACCTTGGGAAGTCGGGCCTGCGGGTATCCTGCCTTGGATTAGGTAAGAAAGTGAGGCAAAGTGAGAACTTTGCCGCTCCCTGAAGACTGAATATGCATAGACTGCAGAAGGCCAGATCTCCACTCTTGTAAACTGTGTGCGCTTTGTGCCGCTTGTGCAGAACATATGGTATCACTGCTCAGCTGCTAATCAGTGTGAGCAGAGTGTGTGTACTTGTACCCTGACCTAGCCTCCATGTCATCCTCTCCAGGAACATGGGTGACATTCGGTGGGCAGATAACGGATGAGGTGAGAGCAGATGGATTTTGTCATCTTCCATCAGTCAAAGCTCCGGAATGGACGCCCTCTATATGTTCTCACATATTTGAAGTTGCTCAGACACCTATTTTTACCTGTTGTACAATGGGGTGCGAAAGGTGTCCAGCAGCTAGAATAAACTGTACAGTAAGGTGCTGTGGACCTATTTTGTCCTGACAGATAAATAATTAAAAAAGGCCAAACAGCTCACATCAGCGCCCCCCCAGCCCCAACCCCCTCACCACCTACACCTTCTTGTTCCTTACCCTCCCCGTTCTCTCGACAGATGGCAGAGCAGCTGATGACTCTGGCCTATGAAAATGGCATCAATCTGTTTGACACGGCGGAGGTCTACGCTGCTGGGAAGTGAGTATCCTTTGCTGCAGCTCTTTTACCAGCGAAAAGTAACTAGAAGCATTGCGAGATACCCCAGCGACTGTTAAGCTGCCAGTTGTGAGTTTAATCCACAAGGAATTTTCCTGGCATTATGGGTGTAAATTCTACCTTCCTACATCTAGGAAATCATACTGTTGTTAACCCCACCACTGATAAATACAGTACAGAGTGGGATATTCACATTTTTTCTCCTTCCAATATACGCACAAAAGCTTTAAGCTTTGAATCTCTGGCTCAATCTTTGCATGTTGCGGGTGGATGGGATGTCTTTGAAGGGATTCAAAGCAGAAATATCTTGAAGACCTGTTTTTCTCCTGACTGAGCCTATCACAGGCAGACAGCTGCCAGTTTGCAGCTGCTATTAGAAAGCATCTTCACAGGCACCTGAAGTGGCCACTTGTGATAAGAGCTTACTATCTTGCTTTATATGTAAATAAACGGGCCAGTATTTCAAATGACCAGGTTTACAGGTGAGACATGCACCCATTGACACCAGTATCCCTCAATCTAGATAATGCAGGTCAGTTACTCTCTTTCAAGTGCTTTGAATCGCCATAAGGAACTGACAAACACCCTGTTTGTGAGGAGTGACTAAAAATAGTTGCTGGTCACTGCCAAACGTGTTGTTGGCCGTCACTGGTTTGAGGCACGTGACTCGAGTAGGTGGCATCTCATCGTGTCGGAGGACGTGTTCACACCTCAGAAACAATATTGCCATATGCTGGACCACCTCCAAATGCGGGCTTGGATCAACACACGGAAAATGGAAATACATGAGACACATGTTAAACCTCAGTGTGCTTTGATGTTTTTCATGGTGTTATGAGTAGAAGTGCAGACCAACCCTTTTTCCAGTTTGATAAACTTTTCAAAAACAAAATTTGACAGATTTGCTTAATTGAGGGAAAAAAACACGGTGTTGATTTGGATGGTATTTGTAGATGGAATTTTAGTTCCCGCAAGCCGCCCTGTGCTGCCTCACATCTGGATGCAATGATGAGTTCAATAACTTTGTGGATTAATCTGGCTTTATAGTAACTTGGGTGCTTTGAAATAATCTAAGGGATTAATTTAGCAAACAGTATATCTGATTAACTGCAGCAAGTCCTCTGTTTTTTTAAATCCTCCTGAGATTATTCTACTTTTGGCATTATGGTTTTAGAGACGCATTAGCATGTCTCAGTAGAAAACAAATAGGAAATAAGCAGTAGGTCTCTGTGGATATCCGCCGTTCTCCTCTAATGCCTCTGCAGTAGATGTAAGACACACGCCATAGCTACAAACTTCACTGTTCTTGTTTTACGTCAGAGTAAAGCAATCAGATTGGACCTTTGACACTTCAGCATAAACACCACTGTATTTGACCATCCCATTTAGAACAAACCACGGTTAAACAGACAAACCGCTCTGGTGTGAGTGTTTGTGTGGCAGCATGTCACTCGGCTCTGTGCTGCACAGGTGTTAATCCTGACGGCCTCCTCTGCACAGCAGCATCAAGGAGCTTATATCGCTTGCAAACACATGCTGAGTGCATGAAAATGTAAAAAGCTTTCATTTGAAGTCCTTAGCCGGGCTTTCCTCTCTTATGATCGGTCGAATGCATCACTGTGTGTCTCTCTGTGTAGTCGGCTGCAGTGGTGTTGGTTTTTTTGTTGTGAGCGTGGACAGATAAACATGATATTGAAGCTATTTGTTGTAGCTCAGCCATAAAAAAAAAAACACAAAGCGAGAAATTTAGCACACAAGAATAATTAAACAGAGTCATGGTTGAGTGGCATCCTCATTGTTATGTGCTGGCCACCATTTTTCAGAAATCTAAATGCATACGCTCAAATAAAGCATCCCCTGATTCTTCTATGTAGCTGCAGTTATCAGCAAACACATATGGTACCAGAGCTTTTTAAAGTATGCAATACGCTGGAATATGAAAAGGAAAGCCATCCATTCCATTTCCTTTAAGGCTTGGACAGTTCACTCGGAAAGCATGGTGTATATCTGACATGATGTGAAACCAGCAGCATAATTAGTGAGAAATCTGAAAGAAATACAATCTCTTTAATGCATGAATAAAGTACCATTACATCACAGTTTCTGCTGTAAGTCACAGGGCAGCTCTGCAGCATATAGATCTAATTAATGAGTGGATCAAGAAAGTCAGCCTGCCCAAGGCACCCCCAACCTTCTGTTTGGGCACTCAAATTACTCACATTTCAGAAGGGCAACACTCCTGCTCTGTGTGGGTGTTTGAAGAGGACACACACATCGTTCCTGTAAGCTCACAAACACGTTTTTGCTCCCAGGGGAGAGCCTCTGCGCTTGTTGTTTCAAAGTTTGTGGGTCCAGCTGGCAGGAATCTGAATTTGTTTGTGGTGGAGAAGCAGCTACTTTGCTCTGCTGCTGGGTAGATCTGGATCAGTCAGAAGGGAGTTATAAATATTTCATTGAGTTAGATATAAAATAAACACCATGAATTGAACAAGTAATGTAAATCACTAATGCCTCGTCCACCTGTTTAAAACAAAGACAGATAAGCTGCTCGTGCTCCCCCAAAACTGCTCTTTTACAGTTTGAGCCTGATAAATCCTGGCACTGCCATCTTGAAATATGCCATCACGGTAGAAGAAAAATGTACCGATGTCAGTCAGGAGGCAGGAAGCTTTTTTTAGCTTCAGGCATATACTGTTGCTGAATCGAGGCCTGACCAACTGAAACAACCCCAAAAATCATGACGTTGCCCCACAGGCTTTTACAGTAGACGATAAGAGTGATGGACGCCGAATTTCATTCGCCACTCATTTTACACTGTTGCACACGTCACTCTGAATCAAGAAAAACGTGAATGTTATAAGGCAACACAACCTTTTTCCAGAGTCCAGTTTTTATGCTCACTAGCAAACCAAAGCCCTCTTTTCTATTAACCTGCCTGGTAAATCATTCCTTTAAGCCTAAACTTAAGTTTGCCCTCAAAACATTGACTTCTTTTCATATTGCACATTGTTCAAATTTCCTCTCAGACATTAATGTAATCTCTGATCACCGCCATTCAAGATTTTCCCCCAGTCATATTTCTTCTTATCCCTTTGCTGATAGGTGTGTGCTGAACAGTTCTTAACCCAATGTACAGAGTTCTTGGTTTGCTTGGTGCAGACCTACTTGCTGACCCTTTTAAAGCAAACTAACATGGTTGTTTAAGAGGTGAGAAGCTCATCAGAGCATCAGTGAGTGATCATTTCCAGCTGAAACTTATTAACTAAATTTACTGTTTTTCTAAATGAAGGTGGTTCGTAAGTGTGTGGCCAGTTGACTTAAAATGACCTTCATTTAGGTAGCAGCACCCTAGAGCCAACAGTAATCTAACGACATCTTTATAGGGACAAAAACACTTTCTGTTCTCTCTGACATACTGAAAAGAGAAGAACTAGACAACAAAAGAAGCTCCTCTCTGTCAGGACAGAGCCTCAATCAAAGGCAGACTCAGACTGGGCAGCCGTCTGTTTCAGGCCGTGGGGGTGAGTGAACGGGGAGAAAGAGAAACAACAACAATGGTCTGTAAACACTGGACAGGAGGATGGTGCCAGAATCCACAGAGCAGGAACATGCAGAGGTACCCTGACAGTGAGAGGAGTGACACTGCTGACGGAGGCTTGTGTTCTGCTCCGTTTGACTGGATTCATCCCCCCTGCTCCAGAGTCAACTCTAGATTGTTGAAGCATCACATGTTAGTCTGTGATTAATCAGTATCTAAACAGGAGGCATGAAACAAAGTTTTGCACAACGTCGAATATCTTGACTGATGACAACGTCTCAGACGCCTTCATCACTCAAACACACACAAACACACACACACGCACACTTAGGCCGGAGCTGCGGCGGAGGGAGTTGTAGGTGAGCTACATTACTCAATGCATTTGACACTTGCAGGCAAAACGTCCAGAGCAGTGAGCTTCATTCATCAGTGCACTTAAAGGAAGTAAAAAAACAAACACACACGCACTGTTTCCATTTCTTTTGAACCACAAGAGCACAAAAACTTTTCATTCAGAAAACAAAAAGCCCTTCTGCAAAGGGGCATCCCATATTTGTCATAGCAAGAGGACCTCAAAGACATCCCACCGACAGCTCTCTGCCCAGCCCTAATGAGCCCCACGTTGAGCGTTATCTCGCTCATTAGCACCCCTTCGACTGCTAATGAGCCCCAGAGTGGTGGTCTGACAGCACAGCTGGAGTGGCGCCTCGCTGACTCTGACCTGGGAGCTCTTTCACAACCACCAAACAGGTGCTCTTTCTCGTAAATGCTCCCCTATGCATTACACAGCGCGTGTGCAGCGTCAGGCCACGGGGTTTAATTTAGAAAGCAGTCCCCAGTTGGTTGGGCGTGAATGCCTGTATCATTTCAGCTCTATCTTTATTAATCTTTCTCTGTGTCTGCTCGCAGGGCAGAGGTGGTGCTCGGAAACATCATCAAGAAGAAAGGATGGAGGTACGAGGCACACTTTGATTGAGCTTGAGGTTTTTTAATTTCCGTCCCAGCTGGCCTGCTTGAACTGGTATCGTCTGGCTCGTATCAGCTCAGTGATGCGAGCTGGAAACTTACTGTTCCAGTTCACAAAACGCAAGATTAATGCTGGCAGCCATGCCGTGCCCTCACACGAGTGTCCCTCATCAAACATGCTGAATAATGGATGAACTTCTAGTGCCTTGCCTTCTATCTTATCACCAAAGGATTGGCATTTGTAGTTTATATGAGATCAGGTTATACCCTCATTCACAACAATCAGTCATTGGCAATTACACTTATTGCAGGATGAGGGTGATTGTAACACTGACAAGATCAAAATACATGATGTACTAATGATGAATGCACTGCTTGTTGACGGTGTGCTTATTCAAATTTAAGCCCCGTGATTAGGTCAACACATTTCATTCACCAGACTTTATTTAGCTATAAGTGAATGGATATTTTGGCAGGTTTCCTCATGGATGTACTTTCTCATTCCCCACTTTTAGACGTTCAAGTCTGGTGATAACAACGAAGATCTTCTGGGGTGGGAAGTAAGTGTCAACTGGTTGCCAAATGAAAGATTATCCAATGTGGTCTCTGTTCTTTGTGGTAAATAGGTAATGAGAAGTGTTGTCAGGTTCTTTCAGAAAGACTGAAAACACATCTGATACTTAATAACACGCAGCTTGTGTTTTGTTTTTGTTTTGTAGAGCGGAGACTGAAAGGGGTTTATCCCGAAAACATATTATAGAAGGTATGTAGCAGGGCAATGCCTTAATGGAATAAATGTTGATGCTGCAACAACAAATGACTTCCTAATTAGTTGCTTTGGGGTCGAGGGAATCAAAGCTGCATCTTATTAAACACATTTCTCTGGAGGTTATTACAGTGGCAAAGAAAACTTTTGGGGACAATAACCCAATTAGACTGATGTGTTTCCATGTGTGCGGCTTGTTTTTAGGTTTAAAAGCCTCCCTAGAAAGACTGCAACTAGACTACGTTGATGTGGTTTTTGCAAACAGACCGGACCCTAACACACCCATGGAAGGTAACAGTAATCGCTTTATTTTGTCTTTTTCTTTGTTTTTCCTTCTCTTTTTTTTCCTTTTTAACAAACGCCTCGTATTTGTCTCTATGACTACTGCTGTGTGAAGACCGGTATATACAAACCTATTGTAACCGAAACTTCTATTTTTAAAATGCTGCCTGTTTTCCGGGTGCTTCCACCTCCACAGTCAGAATGATGATAGATACTGATGTTGGAGACCTTTAAATGGCAGAGTGCTAACCGTGTGTGGGCTCAGCTGGTCGCCGGTATCCATCTGCTCCAGTAGTAGAGTTCCTCTCCAGGTTAGAGTTGAACCTGAGGTCGTCTATCTGCTGCCTCAGGAGTGATGCTCCATTGGCTCAAGCTTTATCACAATACTTCATTGTGTCGCTGGAAGAAGCAGCCCACGGTGTTTGAAGAGAAAGTCGAGGTGATTCTTTTGCCAATCTACCCCCCCTGGATGCGTCTCCAAGCCGTCTGCTGTATTTTACTCTGGCAGCAGCTGAGGGGGTAAACGGGGTGAAGAGGTGGCAAACCGCTCCTTTATCGCTTATCGAAAACCCCTTTAAGCCAAGCGCCCACTGGATTTCTTAGCGGGTTGAGGTGCTCGCAGCAAAGCCTCAGTAAAGCTAATAAATGGATGTTGTTTTATTACACTCTCATCTCGATCGTTATCTGACATGTTTGATATCATGGGCTGGAGTCACACATGCTCAAAAAAACAAAAACTGTCCCTTGAACCAATAAGAAGAATGAAATTCGAGGCAAGTGATGCGAGATTTCATTCAGATGCGCACACAGGTCAGATGGGGCCGTTAATAGAAATGCATATCTTTTGAAATGAAATGCATGCTGTGTTAATGTTTAATGTTTACCCTGCACATTAAAGTAGGGTAAAGAAAATCTAACATATTTTCAGCCCTCATTGCTTAAAATACATAAGCTGTCATCCAGTGTGTCAGCCCACTTTGTGTGAGATTAAAGATTTGAACTGCTGTACATATGGCTGTCATGTCTTATTTATTTCACCAGCTTCCTTTTTATGCAGCACACTGAAGATCCCCCCACCCCCCAAAAAAGGCAGACTCTTTTAACATGAATTTTAACGTGATTGTCATTCAAGTGCCTTTTTAAGAGTAGATGTCATCCTCATCAGGACGCTTGGCTTTCTGATTAACATAATCCGATTTTCCACCCACCTCCTGAATGGCCCTGGCAATTTGGATTGCAAACGATAACACATTTCTCTTTTGTAAGATTAAACGACAAACAGATGCGCATACAGTAGGGAATATTAGTAGTATGTTGCATTTCTTGCAACATACAGTGGCAGGCTTTTGAAAACACCAGGTCGCCAGGGATACTGGTGATTGATTTATTTTTGTTTCAGCATTTTTGCATGTGTGTATTTACAGAAACTGTTCGAGCAATGACCCATGTGATAAATCAAGGCATGGCCATGTACTGGGGAACCTCCCGCTGGAGCCCGATGGAAATAATGGTGAGAAAAAAAACTACTTTTTATGTTATAAGATGAGATCACTGCCATGGTGTGTTTTGTGCAGCACAAACTCCCCTCCTGCACTGAATCATAAGCCTGACTGTGCTCGTACTGTGTTTTCCTCCAGGAAGCGTACTCGGTCGCACGACAGTTCAACCAGATTCCTCCCATCTGTGAGCAGGCTGAGTACCACATGTTTCAGAGGGAGAAAGTGGAGGTGCAGCTGCCCGAGCTCTTCCATAAGATAGGTAAACGGTATAGGGGGCCATATTATACATTACCTTTAAACCTTCACAGCGCTTTACAGTGTGTTACTCATACCGTGTTTCTATTTCAGTATGCGTGCCGCTTTCTTTACACGCTCACACACACGGCGCTGAGCGAATCCAGGGCAGTTCAGGGCATAGCATCACTTAACAGACTGAGGGATTGTGGATCAAACTACAGCCTCTCTGATCTTAACCATGACTGCCTCCAAGCAAAGTAATTTGAACAGTTTTAGACTAAACTAGACTAAAATACGCAAAATCTTTAACTCAAGAACCAACATGTAGTTCATCTTAAAGGAACCAGAGTAGAACGTTTCCCAGTCGCATTATTTTGTGCATTTTGAGGATGTGACTTCCAAGTAGTTTTATATAAGTGTTAGCAAAGACATGTGACGAGACTAAAATAGAACTTAAAACCAGAGTAACACACTATAATAATGCACTCATGGGTCAAGTCATTCATCCATGCACATATCAGCTGAGCCTAAAAGTCCTAATGTGTTCCAGATGTGCTCCACAACTCCACTTCACTACAAAGAAGAAGCTTATAAGAAGAGTAGTTATACTTATTGTGCATCTTTTTCTTAAAACAGATAAACATGTATGTAGATAAAGTCAAATCCGAGTAAAGCTGCTCTCACTGTTGTGTTGTTTTGTTTTGTGTATTCAGTGACTAAAATGCAGCCTATTGAGATTCAAAGCATGAATACCGGGAAAAAGGAGAGAACTGAAGTTCACCAGCCAAACTGAGTTGTGACCTTAGCTCAACCTGAAGGGGAGCCTGCTATTAAGAATGAAAGTTCTTTTAACTATTACAAAGACACAGCATCTCTGTGGAAGTGAGCGGCTGTTTGGCCATGTTTTGTGGAGGCTGACTCTTCTCACTCTTTGTCTCAGGTGTCGGGGCCATGACGTGGTCTCCACTGGCCTGTGGAATCATCTCAGGGAAATACGACGGCAGGGTGCCTCCCTACTCTCGGGCATCTCTGAAGGTAGACGAAGCCCGCTCGGTGTCCTCTGCCTTCTCCCCGCTCCGGTCATCCGTGCTGCTCTCCCCGTTTGGTGTTCCTCCCTCTGGTTGCTGGTTGTTTGTTTCATTGTGCCTTTGTGTCTTTCAGGTTCTGTAAGCGCGCACCACGTACTGTGTACCTGTGTGTTTTCAGTGCCATGCTGACGCCATGCACTGGGCACCTCTTCACAAGCAGTGCTGTTCGACTCGTTTGTCAGCTGGTGTCGGCTTAATGCATTTCAGTGCACACCCTCCGACTCCAACACGCACAACCACAGCAGCACAGCATGTGTGCACACTGACAAATTGCTTTAATTTAACGCCACAGATACAAAACATTAGCTGAAACTAAATGGGCAAAGTGAATCATGAACTACCTCGGTGCGTTATTTCAGGCAACTCAAATGCGAGGAGCTTGTTTTGACTTCGACGGGAGGAAACAAAGAGCCCGTTTTAACGGAGCGTTAATGAAGAGAGGAAGCAGTTGTCAGGATTTAAATTAGTAAACATTCAAGGACTCAAAAGAAAATTCTGCTGGAAAGAGACATACATTCCCCACTTTGTCTAGTTGCATTGCTTTAATAAGCTTCAGTTTTGACATCCAAACTTAAAGCGAACACCTGAGTGTCAAGTGTTGTGTTCCACTGTGGTGAAGTGGCATGTTGTGTTCCTGTGGATTGTGTGTCAGTGACTGTGGGTCAGACCTTCTCTGATTCACGAAACTAGCTTCTTGTGTTGGTGTTGTACCTGTTTCCTGTTTGGCTCAGTGTTGCTTGTGGATGTTTGTGGTTTTTGGCTCTTTAACTAAATGATTATTCGCACGGTGCTAAAGTGTTACTAATGGCTTCCTTCACGCTCTACATTCCTGTGAGAGTAAACGGTGTTTACTGTATTCGTTTGGGTACAGAATTCCTGTAATGTCTGTGAATGCCCACCAGTGCGGCAGAGGCGTTGTCCGCAGGAGACAGAGTCACGTGTTTAAAAACAGGCCCTGCTCACACGGGAGCTGCCGTGCAGCGGTGCGAGCACGGCTGTGTTTTTGAGCAGGTGTGCTGTGTTTTCAACAGGGCTACCAGTGGTTGAAGGACAAGATCTTGAGCGAGGAGGGCCGGCGTCAGCAGGCGAAGTTGAAAGAGCTGCAGGCAATCGCGGAGCGGCTGGGCTGCACTCTGCCCCAACTTGCCATCGGTACGCAGATACACTCTGCCGCTCTCTCTCTTTCTGTCTGTCTGTCCGTCCCTCTGCCTCGGACGGGCCGGGGTCAGCGGCGCTCATCCAGCCAGCTGCTTTGACTGTGGCGCGGCCACATTGTGCAGCCGGTGTGCTAAAGGCTGAGGAGTGACGAGCGTTTATGGGACATATAAACGGGATCTGCTCCAAGCTTGTGTCAGCCCAGTGAAAACATGAAGGCAGCGGCGCTGCAAATGTACGCAATGCAAAGATGCTCTCAGCATGTGTTTGTATTTGCAGGTGCGAGGCTCTCTTTGGAGTGTACATGAGTCTAACGGTTGACGGTGTCGGCTTTAAAACAGCATCCCATACATAAATCAGGGGGGAGACAGATATCGATTCGCTGGCAGGCAGCGAAGTGAAAACGCGCACGCCCCAAAGACGCACAGTCCTGCCAGCACTGTCGGAGCGGCTGACATGAGGGACACGTGGAATAAATCTGGGGTTCGGACTCAGATCTCAGTGCAGATCACAGCAGATTTTTCATCCTCACAGCAATATACTGTCATGGATTAGGTTTCACGGCCCATTAGTGGATAGCCTCCACTCTCCCAATTTCCATAAATCGTCTCCGTGCTCCTGAAGGCAGCACAGGAAATTTATATGGACCGTATAGTTCTCTAAACCACTCTGGCACTCCAGTATTGAATAAGAGGGAGATAACAATGACCAACTCCTTCCTGGCTTTTGCTTGATGCCGGCGGTGCAGCAGCAGGTGTTAAATTCAGGGTTCAGTCTGTGGATGTGGGCAGAGAACAGAGTTAAAGGATGTTTCAGATGTCAGTGACATGAGGGACTCTTCACTGCTGTGTCAAATCCAGAAGGAAACCTTCAAGCGTCCTGTTTCTTTTCTCATTTTGGTCAAAGATTTGTGTGGAATCTTAATCCTGCTATTTTTACAGAAATATTCTCATTCCCTTTATACTCTAATCTGCTTAGAAGTGCTACATTCCTCAATTGCAAGAGCAAGCTGTTGCGTTGCATAATGCAGCTCAAAGACATAATAGCACATGGAGCGGGGATGTGTTATTTTTGTGTCCGAGTGATTGCAGAAAGGCAGGTTTCCTTCAGGTCGTCAGCAGAGAGCAGCACTGGGAGCCAACGCAGTACGTTTACACAACTTATGCACGTGGATGGTGGTGAGGTCATTTTCTGCTGCCCCACATTCAACTCAGGGGAGACGCAGCTCAGCCCTGGCCTCTCATTACCGACACGAACAGGTGTCCAGTGTGTTGATTCGAAGTCTTAATTTGCAGAAAGTGAAGGATTAAAATGGCTTTTTGAGGCTCAACACTCAAAACCAGCGACTTTAACATCCTTCCTCTGCGGTATCCATATAGAAAGTTCACATTCTGCTGCAGAATAATGCCAAATATTTATGTGCTGCAGTAAAATTGAATTCGGGAGGTGTTTGCATTTTGACACATTAAATAAGCAGCACTGTGTGTGATGAATGAGGTTTGTTGCTGGATATAATTAGAATGTTGTCATATTTCATCTATGAATTTCTTTTATGAGGGTGATTTAGTCATGGAAGGATTATTGTTCACGTTATAAAATAAGGGTTGTTGTGTGGCATGTTGTGCAGCATATATTTGTGTATGAATTGTGGATGTTGGCAGTTTGTGTATGTGTGTGTCTGTGTGTGTGTGAATGTGTTTAGTCTTGGTAGGGGTGTCATCGCTGTTTACTGATTTCCTGCAGCGTGGTGCCTTCGGAACGAGGGGGTGAGCTCTGTCCTTTTAGGGGCATCCAACACCGACCAGCTGATGGAGAACATAGGAGCAATTCAGGTGAGGCCACAGAGTGTGTGTATGTGTGTGTGTGCCGGATACCATGCTTCAGTAGTGAAAAAATCTGACGGGGCTCGTTTAATCGGGTCCATTTTCGTGCCTTCCAGTGCATAACAGCCGCTTCTTCTCCTGAGTACAGCTCGGCCTTTTGAGCAGTTTGCCGCTGCACGCTCGGCTGCTTTACTGTAGCGTGTTAATAAGGTCAGCAGAGTATCAGTTGCCCCGGGGGATTTGAGGCGAGCTCATGGCCACTTCTTGCACTGCTGATAAGATGCACTCTGTAATGGGGTTCTCAGACTGCTGGGGATATACTTCCTCTCTTCATCTTATGTGTGGCCTGCAGAAAAAAGCATCCTACTCTCCTCCATTCTGATGTTTTGTGTACGCACCTCTGTGCGTGTGTGTGTGTGCAAGACTCCTCTTGATCTGTACATGTGATATTTCAGTTTCAAAAGGTTATGCTCACATTTCCAAAGGGCTCTGCACTTTTACTTATGCCAAAAATGTATGACACACTTTGAAAAACAGTTTTTTTCCCCTGGATGTCCAAAGAAATTGAACTAATTTTCTAATTCTGCCAACATTATTTTGCTATCTATAGCAGACTTTTAAAAATTCAAAGATGGATAAGAAAATTTACAAAGTAATAATAATAATAATAATTGTTATTAATGTTTTTTTATTATTATTAACAGGAATATACTAAATTGTCAAACTTAAAACTCTTTTGCCTTTAATCAGCTGTTCCCAGGTGGTTATCTATAGAAATGGAACAGTCAGAGCTTCCTGCTCAATTTGAAGTTTGAATTAAATAATTTCATTCACAGTAGCAAATAAGCATAGAAGTCACCTACATGAAACAATAAGGTTCAAACAATATGTATCTGCTTTTTTTGGCCCTAAATGTTGGGGTCAGTTAGTAAAAACTAGAAAAACCCACTCGCTTATCGGCACCACCCACAGGCAGAGTTGTGAATCTTCCTAAAGTATAGAATGAAACACACCAACAGTTACTATGAATAAAAGCCAGCTTTTCATGTTATGTGTTCACAGGTTCTTCCAAAGTTGTCATCATCAATCACACATGAAGTGGACAGCATCCTGGGGAACAAGCCGTACAGTAAAAAAGACTACCGCTCCTAACGCCCGGCAGGGCCGCCCGCGGCCTGCTGCTGCAGAGCCCCACCTTTGCCTGATCCTCTGTTTGCTTGAGCTTTTACTGAGTGAGACCCTGGCGCATGAGTCTGGCCACACCAAGGCCACGCAGGGCACCTCATTTAGACTTACAGAGATAAGATAAGAAAAGGGGAAAAAATAGTCACCTCTACAGTACAGGACCAGAATAACAAAGAAAGACAGAAGTGAGGAGTTTAGGGATGCTCATGCATAAATCAGTTAAACATCAATTCCGCAAACATATTTTAAAACCCTAGAGGATAATTATAAAACGTTTATTTTTAAAAAATAAGCACACGCTTGCTTGGCAGCCAGATTTTCAATTTTCTTTTTTCCTTGCTTTTTTTTCTAAATCTGAATGCAATTCAAAGGTAGATTAAGTTCATACTGTATGAAAATAGAACTGCTGTTGCACATGTACCATAGCCATGCATTTGTTTCTGAGACGCCTCGTCTACAAACACGTGTGTACTGTAAAAGAACGTTGAGGTTTCTCTGAAAGAGAGTGTGTTTGACATCAACGGCCCCTCTCGTGGGCTTCTACAATCAGCACTTTAGAACTGTTTGTAAAGGAGTTTGATGGTAGTTTAAAGGGGGGGGGGGGTTGTTAGCATAGTCTTATCTCACTACCATTGCACTATAGAGTCATGTCGCCTCCTGGGAATTCCCTCTCTCTGTCCTCCCTGTGTCCTCACTGGAAGTGTGTTTGTCCGGCCCACTGCTCTGAGGCCCAGAACTCAGCCGAAGCGACGTCCCTCTCTGTTGCGATGGGGCTCAGAGCTGAAGCTGATGTTTTTGGTCAACGTGTCTGCCGCCGGAGAGACGAGCCGTTGGTTTGTCCGTGCCTCACCGCGTCCTTCCCCTGCGGCCGCCCTCGGCCCCTCAGGCTGACCAGCTGCACGGGCAGCCGTCCCCTTGTGACAGAAACCTGCTCCTCAATCGTGTTTAGTTCATGTACTTTGCCTTATTTATGGTTGCATCAAAGTGTGCGTCGGTGAGCAGCCCCGCTGCTGCGTCTGTGGCCAGCTGGTCACATGCCCCCAGAGACCTCTGAGCAGCGGAGGCGCCGTGTGTGTGAGAGGCAGGACGGGTGTGTCAGCGACGTTAGCCGGGGGCGGCAGCTCAGGGAACGGAGCAGATGGTTTCAGGTGTGTTTGTGGTCAGAAGGGTTGTTCTTTGTCATCTTTTGTCTCGTCCATGTGTGGACTCTGGGGAGGACCAGTGACTTTTTAGCGTGGCTTAAGCCAAAGATCTTCATCTTCTCTGTTAGCCAACACACTCCAATGTTTCACTCACACTTCCTGCAAGATTATAGACGCCATCTTGAAGCATGTGCAGCTTGTTATCTATTTATGGTATGGACTGTACTCCATACAGTATATATCTTTACCTGACCAAGCTGTAATACTAGTTAATATGTCCTTCATATACAGAATGCATAGTACGACTAAGTGCTTTAGTATTGGTAAGGTTTGTTTCAGGCAGCACATGGCCTGACACATATCAGAAGTATTATTGCCGACATTATGATGCCACCCTGTATCATTCTTTGTCCTTTTGGGTGCTCTCTTACTGTGATTAAAGCACAAGTGGATAGCATGTGATACATCCTCTCAGCATGGACCTTCCTCACCCAGCCTACAGTACCTAAAGGACAAGAGAGGTGATGTTTCACAGCGTACTAACACATGTAGAAAACAGGTCTTTACTAACAGCTCATAAACTGTGGACCCTTAGCTAAAAAAAGAAAATAAGTGCAGATTGAGCAAACTGTTGAAAGCGAATAACTGAGATGTGGGAGTTTCTCAGCAAGCGTGGAGGGGATAATCAAAGTGAGCGCCACTGTGTGGGATTCGTATAGACGAAGTTAAGTCTGCTTCTACTCTTAGGTTATTTTTAAAAGTCATTTTAGGTGTCTGATGTTACTCTTGTGTGTGTTGTTGTGTGTGTGTGTGTGGATACGGGGGACAACTAAACTACTCTCGCGCTTTAGTCCGTCGTGTTGATCCTTGTTTGAGTTTGATTTGCCCCGTTGTCTAAGTCTGAGTGGGAAAAAAAAAAACTGGCACAGGCAGATGCTGTTTTCTCATTAGAAGAAAAAATGTGTAATAAACATCTAGTTAATTTTTTTCCATGGAACACATGTGTCTGTGTTTTCATCTGCAGGGAGCGGAGATGAAGTCTGAGACTTAAAAGGAAAGCGTGACGTAAAAAAAACGTTTTTTTTCCTTGCTGAGAAAAAAGTGAGTCTGATACCACGTTAGTATCTGTCTGCTAATGATGGGCCCCATGTAGCTCAGCCCAAATGCTGGAAACAGCTGCTCTGACTCTGTCCTACAGTTACATCATCACCAACATCTACCTGCCAGCGTCTCCAAAGCTCACTGATTATCACATCAGAGCCTGTTTCTTCATACTGAGGGAAAAAGGGGGGAAAAAGTCAACTATTCATAGTTTGAAATGGGTTTAGTTACAAATAAATAATTATCAAATTTGAGATATCCCCTTTATAATGCTCTACACACCTAAACAAAAAGAAATGACTTGATGACATCTTAAATGACATCTTTCACACAACATGGTTCCTTTTATACTGATGGCGTCCGATGCGAAAAGGGAAAGACTTGTAAAGGTTCTAATTTGGGCTCCGCACAGAGTTTGGTAAAGATGGTTCTGGTGGCTATGAACAGAGGTCAGTCTGTTCTCAAAGCCTATTGGCTGCCTTTTTCTCCAGCTACCATCCGAGACTGAGCGGCTAGAACTTTGGAGAGACGTGAAGCAGCAGCTCAGATCCCACCTTCTCCACCACAGCTGAGCGTGGCCCGGGCCTCAGCTGTGATGAAACACTGGAAGCACACAGGGATTCCTGCTCCCGTTCTCAGTCGGTGGCTTCATAAAGCCTCCCTGTAACTCCTGATACATTTCAAAGTGAGCTTTGGACGTGCCGTCAGACGGGCTGTGTTTTTTTTTTTGTTTTTTAGCTGCACGGCCCAGGTCTTTATGCTAATCTAATCCAGCAGACTTCTGAGTGTAACGTCATATTTAGCAGCCAGCTATGATAGTGGTTTCAATCCTCTCATCTGGCAAGGAATTTGGTAGACATTTCCTGAGCTGTCTCTTTTCCTTTGAAATGTGTTTTGTGAGGTTATTTCCTACTCCACAAACATACTGTGGTTTTGACGCACGTCTGTAGTAATAACCTCATGTGGGCGGCCCAATCGTGTGTGTGCGCGCGTGTGTGTGTTTGTGTTGCCCTTACCTGTGCAAGAGAATTTAATGCTTTAAGAGGTCCTAGTTTCATGTTTGCTCTGATGACATTCTGATGACATGAAACAGACCGCAGATGGAGATTAGGTGATACAGAGAATATATTTTTATGTTTTAGCCTTTAATGCTGTAGAGAGAGTATAAAGAACTGTTATTTTTTCCATCATGCTGCATTTTCCTGTCAGTATTGTATCAACTTTTAGACTGACAAAAATAAGCAATTTCTTGTGTTGTGATCGCATTCTGAAAAATGCAGCGGTGTACTGAGTTCACTCTGAGGGGGACATGGAGAGAAGCCTGTACATACTGATCTTTGTACATATTAATGGTTGTGATCACCTCTGCCTTTTTTCTCTTCATTTGAATTTTCTTTTGCAGGCGTTGCTATCTGCACTGTGCTTGAATCAAAACTTTAGACAGGATGTACAGCTGTGATCTTCAATGAAAATGAATTAATGATAAAAATAAGAATGGTAAACCAAACCTGGAGGTGTCTGTCTTTATTTGTGATTCATGGTGGGTTTATCTATGGTTAAAAAAAAAGTAGTTAAGCCTTAAACTCATGGCATGTTCAAATGCAAACAACCATGTTAAATATAAATACCAAGCAATTTATACAGAAAACCCATTAAAGAACAAAGCTGCTGGACCTTTACAGAAGGTGCACATGAATGCACGCTTTCTTCTTATGCGACATGGGAGGAAAATAAAAAATTGAATGAGTGAAGCACCATTAAGGTAAAGATCATACTTCATTTTGTTGACATGGAAAAATAAATTCAAAATGGAGGAATGTCCTTTTCAAAATGGCTTCAGTGTCATTTTGAAGGATTTATATATACATTACCTGAAAAAAGGCATTTTGAGGGCAAAGATAATTCAATAGAGTACTAAATGTGCAGTGAAAGCAGCTGCAGTCTCTTGATGATACACTGTGGACGTGGAAATGTGGACATTCTCATCCTGATGCTCCACAGGTTGCCATTAGGCAGAGGGATCGCACTCTTTGGCACACACACCCATATACTCCTACAAAATCCTGCCTGGCCCTCGTTAGGAGCAGCAGTTTTCATCAGAGTCCGCCTCCCTGGGTCTTCCAGCTGCTGCAGCTTCTTGTCAGCAGTGTTCTCTCTTGAGTCACTTAAGAGGGAAATGTGCTCGTCCTGTCCCACTTTAGGCTTTCCTGCCACTTGGAGCTGCTATAATGAGTTGTCGTGGTGCGAGTCCCCTCTGCCGCTCCCAGAGGTGTTATGCGGGGGTCCACCTGAGGAAACAGAGCTGTGAGTCCAGCTCAGCAAAAACACAACTCTGATATTCGATCGGAACAAAAAAAAAAAATCACTGCGACAAAGTGCAGCAGCTGCAGTTCTGCCCCTGACAGGCTGTAACCGAACACTGTCAGCACTTATCCCGGCTCGCATTTCGCCGTGTCAGCAACAACGGCTGCTGGCCTCCGGCTCAAGGGACCGAATGGTCACCTGCCGCCGGTGTGGGATGCGGTGGTGAGACGAGTGTTGCCACAGTGTGTTTTTCTGTGCTGTACCTTCCTGACAGGACAGTCCCGTCCAGCTGTGCAGGCAGCGACAGCGCCCGCTGCGCCCGTCGCACTGCGCCCCGTTTCCACACTCGCAGGCCTCCGTGCAGTCGGGCCCGTAACGACCGGCTCTGCAGTCTGACGCACAACAACGCTGGTTACAACGGCACGCCACGTTCAAAGATTTTCCAGCCTGTGTGTCAACGCCACTGAGCTGTCACTATACAAGGAATGTGTGTCGTTTCAAAAGAAAAGTGTCAGTACACCCGACTGCTTTGGTTACAGGTTCCATTACAGACTGAAATTACAGAAATATTTGGATAAACTGGTATATCAGGCCAAAAGATATATATTAATGTCCTGCTATGCAAAGATTTTAAAGCAGAGGAAAAAGTGAAGTTCAACTTACTCAGCTTTTATTTCACACCACTTGAGAAATGGTGCTTAAATTTATTTTTCTATATCATCACAGTGGGCCAAGAAAAGCAATGATTTCTCAAACCCAGTTTTCTAAAAAATCACGATTAGTTTGTGGTCAGGAAAACAACATCTTTTAATTATCAAGATAATGGCACTGAACTTTTCTGGAAATAAAGGAGACTTCATTTGATCCAAACTCCAGGTGGAACGAAGACTGCCGGAGGAATCAGAAGGCAGCTCTGTGTCATGTATGACTTGTTTAAGTTAACTCACTGAAATGGAAAGTATCTGATAATAAGCGACGAGGCTGAACAGCCCCCACATCTGCTCCAGCTGCTCAGAAACAGCAGCTGAAGACGCGAGGCGCCTGCCGACATTCTCAGCCTCGAAAAGGATTCTGTTCTTAGGTCAGTGACTGTAGAGCGCCTCGAAACAGAAGGGACATTGTCTGTTTACATCTGTGTTCCATCAAATTATAAGAAGCTACGCTGTTTAATCCGATTACATCAGTACGTTAAAAAAAAGGCTTTTTCAAATTAAGCACTTCTCAGTTTTAATAAATCAATTCGGGTCTCTTTACATTATTGAAGTTGTTTGTGGGGGCAAATATAATCCAGTGGAAATGCTTCCTCTGAGCTGAATAGTCTATGTAAACAGATTGAAAAATTACCAGTGTCACATCTGGGTCCAGTCTTCCCCGAGGGGCAGAGGCATCTTCCTGTCACGGGATCGCAGGCAGCGTCTTCTTCACAGTCGCACGCCTCGGCGCAGCCTGGCCCGTAGCTGCCCGGTTCACACACTGAGGAGGAGGAGGAGGATGAGAGAGCTGTCGATAATCCTTTTTTTTCCTATATGGCGGGTAGTAAACGGGTGTGACTGACCTCGGTGACAGCGCCCTCCGTGGTATCCTGGAGGACAGATGCAGCGGCCTGACACGGGGTGACACCAGGCGCCGTTCATGCAGTCGCACTGCAGCTGACACAGCGGGCCGTAAAATGCGGGGGGGCAGGCTGAGCGGTAGGAGAGGTAAAGTTGACCATTACAAGCTCGGAAAGAGTTCAATTGGAATTGATTAATCCTGTCGTCGGTTGTGGAGGTGGTGAAATTGCGGGGAAAAAAGTGTCAGTTTGAAAGTGGCACCTTGTAGGCATTGTAAAGACAAAGGAACGAATAATATTCAGCTGCTGCAGCCACAGACACAACTTTTCTTCCATTTAAATCGCCCCTTAGCAGCATGTGAAAATTTGTAAGCCAAAACTTTTCAAAATTCCAAATACACACTTTCCAACAGAAATTTGCCACTTAAGCAGTGACAGAAAATATTTTAAATTAAACTTAAAATGAGAAAAAGATTATGTCCATCGTCTCCATTAAATCATCGTTTTTTTTCCCGTTCTTTTTCCCCATTCTGTTTTTTTTTTTCTTGTGCTAATTTAACTTTAAACAAAGCTGAGTCGTGCAGCTTTGGTGGAGCAACAACGGCTTAGCCTGAAAAGGATTTGCAGTGGCAGGATGTGGCCGTAGTGTCCACCCTCATCAGCATCATGTGGCCTGGCTGGCTGACTTTCTGCCTCACTGCTGTGGATGTGTGCAGCAGTGTGGGTCTGCTCAGACATGATACCTGATGGCTGGGGTTTTTTTTTTCTTCATCCGAGGTGGATTCATAGAGAGATACAAATGCGTTTTTGAAAGCCCAGATTAACGCCCGTTGGCACTTGCCCCCCCCTCTTTGTGCGTTTGTCTGTTCTCCCCTCACCGTGTTCACACAGCTGTCCGTAGAACCCCGGGCCGCACTGGCACGCCCCCGTCACGCCGTCACAGGAGCCGTTGTTTTGACAGTTACATTTCAGCTGACAGCCGGCACCAAATCGACCCGCGGGACACTCTGACATGAAAGACAGGGGTTGAGGGGGAGTGGATGAGTCAGATCAGCTTCGTGGCGCCCCCTGTTGGCTCTCAGCCCTCCGCAGAAGGCCCCCGGTAGTAAAAAGGTCCCACCTGTGGTGCAGCGTTCGCCCGTCCAGCCCAGAGCGCAGCTACAGTTTCCGGTCTCTGAGTCACACGCCCCTCCGTTACTGCAGTTGCAGCGCCGGGCGCAGTCTGCCCCGAACCAGCCCGCCGGGCAGCCTGAAGGGGGTGGGGAAAGGAGAATAAATCAGACATCCAGAGGTGTGGCACAGACAGGTCAGCGGTAACCGGGGCTGACCTTCTCTGCAGCCCTCCCCTCGGCGTCCTGGGGTGCACTGGCAGCGGCCTGTGACCGGGTCGCTCTGGGCTCCGTCTCCGCACGGCGACAGGCGGGCACAGTCCACTCCGTAACGCCCGGCTGGGCACGCTGCCGACACACAGACGCACGCACTGATCTCACCTGGCACCCTCACAGCGGCTGGTTTGCTTGTGATGGACTCACCCACGCTGCAGCTGGGCCCAATGAATCCTGCTGGACATTCGCAGGCGCCGGTTGAGGGGACGCACTTCCCTCCGTTTTGGCAGCGACACTCTCGCTCACAGCCGGGGCCGTAACGGCCCTGTCTACAAACTAAAAAAAAAAGGAATCAGGACCCGTCTGTCCCCCTGACTCGCTGCTTTGCTGGCGTGTTGCTCGTGATGGGGCTGTGCGGACAAACCCTGGTCGCATTTGGGGCCGTGGAAACCGGAGGCGCAGTAGCATGTTCCAGACACCGGGTGGCAGAGCTGGTTGGTCTCTGAGCACTGGCAGACCTGGTTACAGTTCTGTCCGAATGTTCCTGGGAGACAAGCTGACGGACAGAGGGTCAACTGAGCAGCGAGCTCACAGCGTTTCAGCTTTCTTACACAGAGCAAACCAACGAGGTGGAAAAATCTTTTTCTTCTTCGTCTTAAAGCTGATTCTTATCCAGAACTGATTGAAGCAGAGAGTCGAGAGGACCAAATGCCGCAGGACTCACTTTGTTCACAGCCGTTGCCGGTGAATCCAGGAGGACAGCCGCACTCTCCGGAGACGTGGTGGCAGGATGTTCCCTGAGCACAGCTGCAGCGCCGCGTGCAGCCGGCCCCATACGAACCGGGCAAACACGCTGGAGGGACACAGAGGTGGAACAGTGCCAGAGACTTACTTCTGCTTTTAAATCTCAAAGACTGAGAAATCCTGTAAAATCTGACAGCAAAATTAAGTTAAAAATGTTCCCCGATACAACTTTGGTCAACAGATCCTTTTCTATAATGAAATGTCTTTGAAAGCTGTGGATTTTAAATAAATTCTACTAAGGATACATGAAAACACTGAAACCCTAAAGAGCAGAAAAATGGAGGCATCATCCATCTGGCCCAGTTCTATAGTTCATTCTACCCCACAGAACTAGAGGTAGGAACAGGTCCAAATAATGACAGCGGTTCGAGTTCAAAAGAAAATAGGCCAAAGATGTCAAGGCTTTTCCCTAGTCCTGTAGGTGCAAATAAAGTTATTTCAAAGCAACTTATCTGTGTATTTGGTGCTGTTCAGAGCACATATTTTATTTCTAAATTACATTTATCGTGGAGAGTAGAACGATATGAATCACTGGGGTTGAAATCCGTCATAACAATAAAATTCGTCTATAATAAGAATTCAATTATCCTTAACTATCAATCTGAAAAGAGCTCAAGTGTGGTTTGTTTTAGGTACATTTAGTTACATATATTTTGCAAAAATATTGCAATGATATTAAGGGTACATGGAATACAATTAATAGTATTATTAAAAACAATAAAGATAGAGATTTCTCAATAAGTATTAAACACAACAACACAATAGTGGAAAAAAAGGAGGATATTGTTGAAGTCTTTAATAAGTACTTTGTTAATATCGGTCCTAATTTAGTAAGCAAATTGCCAATGGGTAGAGATGGAAAACATAATTATAAATTTAATAATATTAATACAATGTTCCTGGGAGAAGTGAGTGAAAGTGAGGTAATAGATGTAGTTAAAAAATTTAAAAATAAGAAATCCAAAGATTGTAATGATATTGACATGGCTGTTGTGAAAGAGGTCATTTATAGTATTATTAAACCTCTCACCTACATTTGTAATAGATCATTCTTAACTGGAACCTTTCCTGACAAAATGAAGATAGCAAAGGTTTTTCCAGTTCATAAAAGTGGAGACAAGCAAATATTAACAAATTACAGGCCGATATCATTGCTACCACAATTTTCAAAAATTTTGGAAAAATTATTTATGAAAAGACTGGATTCCTTTCTTAATAAAAATAATATATTGAACGAGCACCAGTACGGCTTCAGGCACAACTGCTCCACAACTTTAGCTGTGATGGAGTTTGTGGAGCACATTGCAGCAGCAGTTGATCAGAAGCTTAATACCGTAGGTGTGTTTATTGACCTATGCAAGGCTTTTGATACTATTGACCACGCAAGACTATTGGGTAAATGTGAACTGTATGGCTTACGGGGAGTTGCATATCAGTGGTTAAAGAGTTATTTGGGTAATAGATTACAATATGTACAAATTAACAACACTAAGTCACAGACAGACATGGTAAAATGTGGTCTTCCTCAAGGCTCAGTCCTAGGACCTAAATTATTTATACTTTATCTAAATGATATTTTTGCAGTATCCAGTCTGTTAAAGTTTATTATGTTTGCAGACGATACAAATTTCTTTTTTTCTGGAAAAAATATGGATGAAATTATAAAAACAGTAGAAGAAGAGTTAGCTGAGTTGAAAACATGGTTTGATTACAATAAGTTATCGCTAAATGAAGGAAAAACTAAATTCATGGTTTTCTCTGGCAATCGGAACTATAATAATGTAAAGTTATGCATAAATGGAGTTGAAATCGAAAGAGTTTATGAGACAAAATTTTTAGGGATTATTATAGATAATAAACTTAGTTGGAAGCCTCACATAGGATATATTAGAAATAAAGTTGCAAAAACTATTGGAATACTGTTTAAAATAAAAGACTTAATAAATGTTAAAGGCTTGCATGTTATATATTCCTCTTTGGTTATGCCTTATTTGTCTTATTGTTCAGAAATCTGGGGAAATGCAAATAAAACAACTATTGATATATTAGTTAAGTTGCAAAAAAAAGCTATAAGGGTTATAAATAAGGTGGGTTACCGTGAACCAACTGATAAACTCTTTATTCAAAGTAAAATATTAAAATTTAAAGATATTGTTTATATAAAAATACTGGAAATAATGTATAAAGCATTGAATAGAAGTCTTCCTTCTGGTATTCAAAAATTATTTAAGTTAAGAGAAAATAAATATAATTTGCGAGGTTTGTTTATATTTGAATGTGCAAAAGAGAAAAGTCAGATAAAGTCTAGATGTGTTTCAGTTATTGGTGTGAAACTGTGGAATGAATTAAATGATGAATTTAAGTTATGTCCTTTTTTGGTGAACTATAAAAGAGCTTTAAAATGTAATATGATAAAATCTTACGTTCTTAAGTAAATCTATATTTGTACTGTGTACTATGTAATCTGAATTTGTAGAAATCCTGGTTGTAAGGTAAAAAAAAAATAGGGTAGGCAAGAATAAGCTTTGCTTCGGCCTATTCCTTTTTTGGTAAACTGTGGGTTTGTCTATTGTTATTTTCTTTTTTCTTTTGTTGTTTCTTGTGTTTAATGTGGACAATTGACCAAATTTACCAAAATAAAGTGAAAGTGAAAGTGAAAGTGAAAGTGACATTACATTCCTGTATTGCGTGTTTTTTGTAGTATTATAAACATTACCTAGTCTGACAGCAGGGTCTTCTAACAGAGACAGTGAGTGTATGGAAGTTGAAGGGTTTATACCTTTGTCACAGAGTTTCCCTCTCCATCCTGGTGGACACTGACACTCTCCGCTCACATGATGACATGAAGCCCCGTGCGCACACTGACAGCGCTCCTTGCAGCCATGGCCAAAGAGGCCTGCTTCGCAGGCTATTCACAGAAAGGTGGGGATGCAGAGGTAAATCCCACAGCAGTGCACAGCGCTGGGATCTCAGTTTCCACACAGCAGCTCGCAGCTCACCTCTCTCACAGCGCTCCCCCATCCACCCGGCGCCGCAGCTGCAGCGGCCCGTTTTCCTGTCGCACTGGCCGCCGTTCGCACAGTCACACCGCTGCTGGCAGTCCGCCCCGAAAGCGCCCACGCCACACTCTGTAAGCATGCAGGCGAAGACAGAACGAGAGACACAGCAGTGGCGTTAAGACGTGAACCTAGCTCCATCCCTTTTCTGCCCAGGAGCAGCCCGCCTGGCTTCCCTTGAGACTTTTTAATACAGAGCCAGACTGGAAACTGGGGTTAGTAAGCCAAAGACTTTGGGAGGCAAAGACATTACAGGGCCCAAATCAGAGGCTTCCTCGGAATAGAGAGATGCAGGGCCTGGCAGAGATCAACGGGGAGAGGTCGTTACAGGCACAGAGGGAGGATAGTGTGAGGGGGAGAGCTCATCGGGAGCTGGAAGGAGCTGGAATGTCAGTGCCCGCTCAGCTTTTGCTGAGCAGGCCTTTGGGGTGCAGAAACACACCCATTGCCAACAAATTACCAGACTTGAGGCAAAAACAAATGAGCTCAGGCTGCGAATTAAAGACAGACTGATTCATTTCCTGAGTAGAGTAAAAAGAAACCGCAGGCCGCATCTTTAAAAGTCAGTTTCGGGGTCCAGGTGATGCCGTTTCTCTGCTCCTCACCAGAAAAACCACCAGTGAGAGCACTGGATGCTTTTCAAGTTGAGGATCAACTCAGCATAATTAATTCATTACTTATGACAGTTTATCCCCCTTGTGCTGGCACGATGATTGGATGGTGCATCTTCTGATTAGATATCAGTGGTGGAAGTTACCCATTTGTTCAGTTTTAAGAAACTGTCAGAGATAGTAACTCCTCATGTTCAACCTTGTTTGATGTTTCACATGAACTGGGTCTGATTACTGTGGTTCTGCTCTTCATTCTCATCAAAACAAACTAAATCATTGTGCCTCTCATCCATATTTTACACCAGCTTATTCCAATTTAGGGTTTCATGGAGAGTGGAGCTAAACCCAGCTGGGAATAGGACAATATTTCCTTTTAAAAAAGTGTGTATAGTCAGAGGTAACAGCTCTTTGACTGTGTTGGGCATGGACCCCATTTCCTGCAGCATCACAGATTATTTGCTGCATTTTGGCTGCATTACTTTCACTTAATGTGAAACGTACCAGATTTATAACATGGCACTCGAGTAATATAAAGGGACCCTGTTGAGATTCTTTCTCTTAAGACTGGGTCCTACCCTGTTCGCAGGCCGTCCCCGTCCACCCGCTGACACACGCACAATTCCCATCAGTCTTGTTACAAGCGGCTCCATTCTGGCACAGGCAGCGCTGTCGGCAGTCTGCGCCGTAAAATCCAGCGGGGCATTCTGAGGGAAGACCACAGATAAAAACCATCTTGTGGGCTCCTCTTTTACCTGTAGCACGGACAATCTCTTGTGTCTGTTGTGTAAACTCACCCTCTGTGCAGTTGGGCCCGGTCCAGCCGGCCGTGCACACACACTGCCCGCTGGCCGGGTGGCAGATGCCACCGTTACGGCAGCCACAGGTTTGGTTACATCCCTCCCCGTAGAAACCAGCTGGGCATGCTGCCAGGAGACAGGCAAACAATACTATGACCTCCTGATGAACCTTGCTGATCAAAAGTGGGGATTCCAGTGTTTGGTAAGTAATACAGCCCTCAGCATGGGGAACATCTAGTTGGTGCTTTCTCATGTGTGACTGGGATGTGCTTTCCCAAATTCCTGAGAGCCAGGGATTTCTCTGTTGTATTCTACTATTAGTCAGACTTTGATGCTCTCACTGAGGGGGCAGAAAAGTCCTGATACGAGCAATCCGAGCCTTCTTTCAGAACCCGCTCACGCCACTCACTCAGGTTGCAGAATGGGCCGATCCAGCCGGCAGGACAGGCACAAGCACCGCGGATGTGATCGCAGCTCCCACCATTCTGACACAAACACTTCTCCTGACAGTCTAGGCCGTGGAAACCCTGAGGACAGGCTGAAATGCACATACACAACATAAACACAGTGTCTTTCTCTGTGCTCAGTGGATACGTTTAGCTCAAGAGTCCAGGTTCTCTTACGCTTTTCACAGAAGGTGCCTGTCCATCCCAGCTGGCAGGTACACGCTCCACTCACATGGTCACACAATGCCTTGTTTTCACACTGACACCGATGTCGACAGCCAAGACCAAACGTACCTGCCGGGCACTCTAAAGGAATACACACACACCAGAGCACAGTTGATAGATTAACACACATATATACATTTTATATAAGCATTGTACGCATGAAACCAACATGAAGCAACGCAAAGCGTAAGACATATTATGTTGATTATTTGGAATATCTGCGGTGCCATCTGGTGGTAGCAAGACTTAATTAAAAATGACAGAGTAGCCGTTACACATTCAAAAATGGCTGCAATCCAACTAAGAAGTGAATAAAGTGAGAGGGGACCAGCCTTTTTATTTATTTATTTTTTTTTTACAGTCAGGGTTACAGTCAAACTAGGACAAATATCATGGAATGTTGCCTGCGTACATCACCACAGCGGAACTGAAATAAGACAACTGTAATAAAGATGGGATTGTTGTATGAACTTTCAGATTTAATTATTGGCGATTAGCAAAAATGGAAGTAACAGAATGTGTTGACATGTTTCCTGAATGAATCTGCCTACATCAGGGAGTTCAGTGGCTGACAGAGAATAAGTTAAGATTTTCAGTCACAACTGCCAATGAATGAGGAAAGAAGATCTTGAAAAAACAAAAAAAACAACACACAACCTACTCTGATGGCAGTGTGTTCCAGTGAAACCAGCCTCGCAGTTGCACAGGCCCGTCACAGGGTCACAGCTGCCGTCTCCGTTTCTGCAGTCGCAGATTTCTGAACAGTCGGCTCCCCAGTGTCCTGCATCGCAGGCTGCAACGCAGTAGCCAAGTATCAGAAAGGTCCAGGGTAGGTCTTCAGCTGTTCAAGTTCCTTATTTCAACCTCGTAATTGCAGATGCTTTTCAAGACTTTTACCTTTCCTACAGTTGTGACCCGTCCAGCCAGGAGCACAGCTACACCGGCCACTGACCGGATCGCAGCGGGCATTGTTCTCACAGACACATTTCATGTGGCATCTTTGACCAAAACGTCCAATCGGGCACACTGTGCATGAAAAAAAAAAAAAACAAAAACAGAAAGATAAAAAATGAATCTACCATGATAACCTTCAACAAATTCCCCAAAACATTTGGTCGAAATGGAATGAAAGCTGCTTTTCCGTTTAAAAAAAGAGACGGCTGAAGGGTTTTAACAAATGTGCTCTGAGAAAAACTGCTCCTCTGTCTTCCAGCGTAATGCTTCATTTCACACCCAAACTGCCACGGCTCAATATTCCACCGTACCGCCATCCTCTTCCTCCGCTGTCCTGTTTAATGTACGTTGCCATGGACACCTTCCCAAAAATGGAATGCCTGCTTCGGCTACTCACAGTTTTGACACAGTCTTCCAATAAATCCTGGAGGACAGTTACATGAGCCGTTGTGTTTATCACACACGCCGCCGTTCTCACAAGCGGGGCAGCTCTCCGTGCAGCCTGGACCCCAGAGGCCCTCGGGGCACACTGAAAGATTTTCCACAGTTTTTATCATGTAAAAGGACCGCTTAAAAAAAAAACAAAAATATGTCGGCGCTCACCATTCTCGCAGTGCTGCCCAAAAGTACCGGCAGGACAGTCACACCGCCCTGTCACCGGGTCACAGGGAGCGCCGCTGCAGTTACAGGGCTGGACGCAGCCGACACCAAACCTCCCGTCTGGACACTCTGACAGAGGACACACCCAGAGATGACAACACGGGACCCCAGACGCGGAGGCCGAAGAAACAAACCACCCATTTGGTCATGTTCTACATTCTATCTCTGGCTGTCACCACTGACTCTGATCAGTGTTTCTCCTCTACATAGCTTATTGTCATAGTGATGAGAAATGTTATATTGTGTCTACTCTGTAAGTCGCTTTGGATAAAAGCATCTGCCAAATGCATAAACATAAACATGTACCTTGATCGCAGTTGTCGCCATGACGACCAGCAGGGCATTTTCTTTGGCACCGTCCTGTCACATGATCACATGACACCCCGGGTGGACAGACACACTTCTTCTCACATCCGGCCCCATATGTACCAGGTCTGCACTCTGGAAACGGAGCACTGCACTTAAAATAACACTTGCACAACACAGTCATGAGAGCCCAGAAGCTTCTGATTTCCAGCAGAGGTCAGACATCACCAGTCAAACATGACCTTTGTGCCACTGCAGATGTTGATAGTAGTGGTCAAATGTTTCTCACATTTTCTTTCTTTTTTTTTATTTTTAGATGCGCATGGACATTAAAAAGGTACAAACTTTGGCTTGGATTTTGTCTCTTATTTGCCCGTGGATGCACAAAGTAAGAGTCTGTTTTTTCAGTTTATTATTTCATACATAGCCTTTGAGGGATTCAACTAATAATAGTAATAGTATGCCATAATGCTATGTCTCCCTACCTTCCTTGCAGCTGCCACCCTGATAACCAGGTTTACAGACACAGGTGCCATGGCGACGGTGACATTCCTTGGAGTTTTTCTGGTCACACTGACACTCTTTGGAGCAGCCCGGTCCGAAGGTCCATTTAGGACAGGCTGAAGATATAGATATAAGTATGAGACATGGATCATTTCAGGTTGATCTGATATAACCTTAAAGTTGTGGGACTCACGGAGGTGACAGAAGCGTCCGTAGAGTCCGGGATCACACAGACAGGCTCCGTAGGTCCGGTGGCAGCGGCCATTATTGGCACAGTTGCATCTCTTGTTGCACTGTTTCCCATAAAAGCCTTTAGGACAGCCTACACAAAGAGGAAATATTATAACCGCTTCAACTCAGCAGTGAATAAACTGTACCTCAGGTATTCCCAATGAAAACTATCGGAAAAAGAAGCGCCGTCAGACAACAAATGGGAGGCTTCTCACCATCCTGGCACAAGTCTCCGCTCACACCGGGAGGGCAGCGGCAGCTTCCATTGACCGGATCACAGCTGGCACCGTTTTTACACTTACAGGGAAGGGAGCAGTTTTTACCAAAATACTCCTCAGGGCACGCTGTAACACAGGAAAAAAATCAGCGCCAACACAATCGGGAGTGGAAGTCAGATGCAGGCTGCTGTTTGTGTGCCAGGTCACTCCTCACTCTGGTTGCAGATGATGCCTGTCCATCCGTCAGGGCAATCGCAGCCACTTTGCCAAATATTGCATTTTCCCCCGTTGGTGCAGTCGTCACATGTCAGGCTGCAGTCGCTGCCGAAAGTGTCATCCAAGCACACTGAGGACAAACCAATAGTCAACTTTGCCTTTTTTCACTGGCTGCAATCAGTCAGAATGAGGCCAATTTAAGTACAATTTTTTATCACGCCTTTCTTATTCTGCTTTAATGAGACATTATATCCTCGCAGACATTTTTTTTTTATGTTTAATGTGTATTTCTATAAATTCTGAGCAGCATAAAGCAAAGCTCTGGCTCCCTGCTTCAGACTCAAACCATCTGCCAGCCCACATAAGCCTCAGCATTCCTGCCGGTGAAACTGTTGTGGTTTATTGGTATGTTCGAACAGTCTGGAGCACGAAGCAAAGCGATTAACCCCCCAACGTGTGGTCTGCTTCTGCTTTCACTAAACGACGCTGTCAGACAGCTTCTCTGGAGCCAGGTAATCAGCGGCAGGTTTCCCCGTTAATGATAATGAGTCATTAATGGCTCCGATGGCACTCACCGAATTTCTCTGCCAGGATGCTCTCGGCCCTCAGCTCCCCTTCGTCGTCTTCGTAGTCGTCATAGCGCTCCAGGGGCTGACCATAGTCCTCGAGCAAGGTGAGCCGGGGTTGGACCAGGGGCACCTCGATGGCCCCTCCGCTAGAGAGGGCCTCGATGGCGCCTTCTAGTGCTGGAGTGGGAGGACACGCATACTCAGTCAGAACATGTATGTCATTTGATGCAAACGTGTGCATTACTCCAATAAATAAAAGCATCTAGTTTTCAGCTGCAAGTGACGGCCAGCCAACAGGCTGCAGACGGAACACATGATGACCATAAAAGGTTCTGTAGTCTGGAAAAAACTGCGATCACTGTGTTTTGCTAGTAGAATTACTACTGTTTACTTTTGTTTCTCCGGAGTAAAAACGACTTTTGATGGTTGCTCAGACACATTTTTTTAATGGAACCATAATCAAATGAAAGTCCTCTTCATATTTTAGTTTCTTTGGTTTATTTTAGTCAATCCCTGTCACAGGCATAGTTTCCATGATTGCCGACACTCACGGATGCAGGACTGCCGGTCCTCGGCCAGCCGAAATCCCCTGTAGCAGAAGCACTGGAAGGAGCCGGCGTTGTTCTGGCAGGTGTGATCGCAGCCACCATTAGCGGCCAGACACTCATCCACATCTGACCAACACAAACACAAACCCAGAGTCCAGCTTCCGCGCCATCAAGAGGTGGAAGCTGAGAAAAGTCAGCTTAACCACACAGCTCTCTACAAAGCAAACACTGCTCTCCGCGTGTGTTTTAACATACCGTCACAGCTACAACCATCTGAGCTCAGCCTGTAGCCTGCTAAGCAGTAGCATTCATAACCGCCGGGGTAGTTTGTGCAGTCCTGCTCACAACAGGAGCTCTTCCCGCCACACTCGTCAACATCTGCCAAATACAACAAGTGGGATGGTAAAAAAAAATCTGATCCGACTGGAGGGCTACGCTTCACGGTTCACTGACTGAAGCTTTTTACAAGATCTTATAAACTGTGCTCATTTAACAGCCAATTAGGCTTAAGTTACATATAAAGAGCAATACTGGCGCTGATCTCCAGCTCTTCACCTCATAACCTGTGGCATGTGTCTGTAAAGTTTCACTCATCTAACAGAACAAACTTCAACAGTTTTCCTTCACTTGCTAAACATTGGAACATTTTAGCTTTTTAAAATCGTTACAAATCCTATAAGTGCAAGAGGAAAGTGAACATGTCCTAAAACCATCTTGATGTGCTTCAGGAAGCCTGCAAAACACCATCTCTCACTTTCTTTGTTCTTAGATTATGCTTCACTGATACTGTCTAATCCAAAAGTTTACTAAAAGTTATTATTCAGTTTATAGTTGAAAAAGACTAAGAATAGATGTTGTTTAAACTTTGTGGCAAATTTGGAAGATGTACTTAGAATATTGAATATTAGTGTTAGAATCAATCAAATTCCTGCTGTTGACAGGAATTATTTCACAACTCTGAATTCAAATACATTTGTACCACTGTGTTAATTGGAAATAAAAAAGATGTAAGAATGAGCCATTATGAAAAAACAATGTTCTGTTTACAATAGATCGAAGGAATTATATTGAATAATACATTTTCTATTTTCTCAAATTCATGAGTTCCTATTTCAGTTTTATGGCAGCAGCACAGCATATGACAAAGATGCTGGCTTTATCCAGCTGTTTCAAATGAACTGGTAAATGACAGTGTTCTGGTTTGCCTAAACACAACCAATTTAAACTATGCAAAAACTATAAATACCTCCCTGGTTCAGTCATAGAAGTGACACTATTCCCGAGTCTTCTCGCTGCTGACTGCCGCTAGCACCAAACCAAAACCAGTTAATGGGAAAAGGAATTCAGATTTTTTAGTTTGAATCTGAGCTGTGACAGACCTCCTGTTGGGTATTTAGGCAGGAAAAAAAAGTATATTTTATAGGTTTAGAAGCTAAAATATATTTTTTTAAATGAAAAAGAACCTGTAACTTTTATTTTGTACGCAACATAATCTGATGTGTCTCTATGTCAGTGGGAAAGCATCAGTCTCTTACCAACACAAGTTTTGAGGTCATCATCTAGTCTGTAACCATGGTTACAGGTGCAAACAGGCCCACTGGTTGAATGCTGGCAGTGATGTGAACATCCACCGTTGTTGTTCTCGCAGCTGTTCACTATCTCCATCTCAATCCCTTCAGTTTTAGTGAGAGCAGAATGTGTCAGCAGAAACAAAACTTTTTAGGTTTTAGAATCTCAACATGAGATTTTACACAAAGGATGAAGCTGAAGTAAGGAGTTAAACTGACTGTAACACTGTTTTCCATCAGATCCCAGCTCATAGGCTGCGTTACATACGCAGGTGTAAGAACCCAGAGTGTTGTGGCAGCCATGAGCACAGTTGGCCTCTTCTGTCTCACACTCATCAATATCTGCGGAACACAGTATATGTTCAGATTCAATGACATCTGTAATGCGTTTCTCATTTATTGAACCTTTTGTGTGTCTAAAACATGTTGTTTATCCTTTTGCCAAGATAGCTGATCCTAATGATGAATAAACATCTTTTTTGAAAATGTATGTGCTTTTTTGATGCTTTTTTGAGATGATGTTTCTCAACCACTTGGCCCTTGTTTGCTACTATTTTTCTCCTGTCGACACAAAGTCTTGCATTGAGACGCGTCCACTGGCCATGTTTAATGTTTGGAGACTTTTGCATGTACCTTCACAGGTTTTCCCGTCGTCAGCCAGCACGTAGCCCACCTTACAGTCACAGTGAGCCCTGCCTCCATCCACCCGACACTCGTGCATACAGCCTCCGTTCTGATCTGCACAAGGGTCCTGCACTGTGGCACACAATCAAAAGTCAGAGAATAAGGAGCACTTCGGGAACAACAAAAACTTGTAAAAACCACGGCGCTTCATGTGGAGGGCTTTAAATCCACCTCATCTTTACTGCTCTCTCGCCACATGGTTATGTGTGCTTAACTTGTGCGAGCCTGTCTGGCATCTGGGATGAGAACCTTCAGCTCCTTAGAAATTAGAGGAAGCCATTCACAGCCAACAATTACAAAGTAAAAGAATCTGCATGCCCGTCATTTTAAATGCATAAATGTATAATTTCCTGCCTCTGGAGAACTGTACTTCACTGCACAGCCTCGGAGATTCGAAAGAAATTTTAAAAAGCGAGGACGTGAAAATACCAATTAAGAAAATAAAACAATGAAGATGACTGTGACTCATTTCAACTCGATGTTTTTATCCAGTGAATGACGGTTAATCATATTCCAGTTCAGACAGCCTGAAACATCATAAGATTTGGCAGCAGATTCAGCAAATGTGTTTTTAATCTTACAATCTAATCTTCAGATTCCCACCTTTGTAATCAATCTAAAAAAGCCCCTTTTCATTCGTGCCATGTCCTCAGGGAGACATCCCTGTAATTTTCCTCTGTCCTCTGTTAAAGGTTCACAGGTTCAGGTTTAGTCCGAGAACACGGGAACTCACGTTTACAGTGCTTGCCATTCTCTGCCAGTGTATAATTTGGCTTGCATCGGCAGCGGAAATGAGCAGCAGACTGCTGCACACAATAGTGTTCACATCCCCCGTTGCTGATGGCACATGTGTGGACGGCTGAAACGCAGAGGAAAATGAAAATGACAGAGTGAATCAAGATGCAGGGGTTGGGCATCTGAACAAATCCAATGACACTGAAATGTCACCTCTACAGATGCCCTCCCTGACACGTTAACATTCCTTCAGGCACGCCGAGTACCTCAGAGCACAGCTATGCTCTGAGCCATGAGAGATCCATCACAACAGAATGGCCAAAAATCCGTCTGCGGTGGACACACACTCATGCTCTGATGAGGTTGAATGAAGTTGAATGAAGTTGAGCTCAGCGTTCTTCGCAGCCAGTGTTTCTTCTCTTTGAAGCAACAGATGGACCTGGATCTCTTCAGAGAAAATAAAAGGGTAGAGGCCGAACAGCCTGGTGCTCTCAAAGACGTTGTTATTCATACTCAGAGACTGAAGTCAAGATCCATCCATCTCAAGCGCATGTTAAACCACATAGGGCTTTCCAGCTCAAATATTATGCGGCTTCGCACTGAATGTGCCGGATACATCTGACCTCAGCTGGCAGCTCGAGCTGGATAAAAATGGAAAGTCGAGACAGAATCAATTTGGGGACGTCTGACTCTTTGATTCTAGGTGGGTTATCCTTTCGGTAATCAAGTTCTACCTCACAGGGCAAACTTTAAAATGGTTTTATTTGGCTAGATTCCAAATATCGCGCATCAAAATTAGCTTCACCTTGAATGAGTCCACATGCTCAGTGTTTTTACTGGTATAATCAGTCAGGCCGTCACGCAACAGCTGTCAAGCAAGAGCCTCTCAGGGACACATGGGTCCCTGCTAATATATCCACACCATAAGAAATGGAACAACTTCTCTTTATGAAGCCAAGACAAGCATGATGATTTATACGCTGGACTCTCTGTATACATTCCTGCCTGTAGAAGTCAGAGTCAGGTTTATGCTCTTTCTTCAATCAGCTATTTCTGATAAACCCAAAGCTTGCGTGTCTGCTATGACAGGAGGGACATTAAGGGAGAGGGAGAAGGCTGTAGGGGTCAAGTTAAGGGACTCCGCTCAAAGCACCGATGCGACAGTCAATATATAATCAGCATAGCTAAGACCATAGCTTTGTGCTGTAAATGGGTATTTTACTGTAGAAAAATGTTACTGGATTAGGGTGTCCAAGACAAAAGGAAAATGAACAAGGTGAAAAGATCTTAAACACACAAAAAAAGCATGAGAGATAGTATGTTTGAGTCCTTCCCAAATTAAACTCCTTGCAGATTGCCTTTTCATTTAAAAACTATTATAACATTTTCTTGTAAACCTGCAGCTGAAACAGCAGAATTTCAGGCACATCCCATGTCAAACACACTTTTGAATAACCACAAAACATTTTATGATTTTTGTGAAAGTCACATCTTTAAAACGACATGAAAACCTCACACACGATCTCCGGGAATCCATTTTATGAATGCTTCAAAACATGACACGTTTTACCTTGATACCACCGGCATCAATCTGTTGTTCTGCAAGCCAAAATAAAGTGGCTGCTGCACTTTTGAGGCTGTTTATTTTTCAGTCGAAAGGCAACAGAAAATGTAGGATGGGCCCAGAGAGAAGCCCACTGAGATTAGCAGGTTACCTGGTGGCAAGTCTCTCACAAGGGCCAAGAATGTCAGCAGTAGTGAGAATCTGTGGATGTGTGGACTACACCTCAACATATCTTAGTGTTTTTACAAAACAAGCCATTTAATGACAAAGCAGCTGATATTTGTTTTAAATCTGTGTGCATACAGATGACCTCGTAAAACAGACAACACTGGTGAAGGACATTGGCAAAGTAAATAAGGTGCAATAATAGAAAGAACTTTCTTTTGACAGGAGTGAGTTCCCTTACAGAAACCAACTGTCTAGCTACAAATTTAAAAACAATCTATGACACTGGAAAATAAAACTGTTAAATGTAGTAAATGTCCCGAGAGCTTCTATGAGCTTCTCCATTTGATGAAGTGCCTACGTAAAAAGCTAATGTGGCTTAACTTGAATTAAATAATAATTAAAAAGACTAAGTCACTTCAGAACGGTCTTGTCGTTCATGTGAAGGGCTACATTTCCCTTTCTAATTGGAATAAAAGGAAAGACAAAACCAAAAATTGTCCCGTTACAATGCTCCAGCTGTCATTTTGAACATTTTGAGTATGTTGTGTTATTTTTTAGCTCGTGCCCCGTCCATTCCCCAGAACATTGTGGTTACTTTACTCACCGAGGCATGTGCGGCCATCCACATGAAGGCGAGAACCAGGGTGGCACTGACAGTAGTAAGAGCCCCTGGTGTTAATGCATTTGTGCTGGCAGCCTCCGTTAAGGACCTGGCATTCGTCGATATCTGAGGAGAGGGACATTTGAGCAAGTTTCACAAACTCCTTTCAAACTGAGCCACTGACACAACACTGCCTGGCTAAAAGAGACATTTAAAGTAGTCTTTTGAATAGAGATGATAGATGAGAAAGGGAAAAGAGTATTTTACAGCTATGTAAAACAAATATGCCTCCCATGTGGTAGCAACTACTAACATTTCAAACCAAACTGAAATTCCTGCACCTCTTGTCAAAGCCCCCTGAGTGAGCAAACATGCGGAAACTTAAGTCAGAGAATGCAAAACACACACTTTCCATTCAGCCGAGTGTGTCCCACTGCAAACAAATAAAGAAGCGGGTTCTTCATCTGAGACGGCTGTGGTGAGTGAAACGTGACGCCTCACTGTGAAGGCAGATTTCTAATGAAACAAATCATGTTCCTAGAGACTGCTTATTTCAGAGGTCAGAGACTAATAAATTGTCTTGAAGGTTCCACAACAGACCCCCTGTGAGATGTGAGCTGACTTATGAACCCTGCCTCTGTTTAGACTCCTGCTAACAGCCTGTCTGCTGTGATCAAGATAATTAGGACATTAAGTCAAACCACCTCACCACCGCGCTGATAATAAGTAACCACTTGGGTTCAACATTGTTCAAACAGCAGAGTTCATGGAAACGTAGCTGAATGAGAGAGCCACGGTGCATTAGAAAGGTGATTGTAAAATGTTTAGGCTGTGGGCTGATTTCTGTAAAAAGAGCTAACACTTAATAAAATACTATTAGTCAGACCTTAGTTAACTGCCAGGCAGAGAAGTGTGTTGTTCAGAAGAATCCTGACCCCAGGCAGATTTTCTCAGCAAGAAACTATTCCAAGAATTCACAGAAAATTCCTGTTTAATAAAAGAGCTTATTACAATCACAACAGTGGAGAAACAGACAAAATGAACCAATAAAGACCATTTAGTGATGATTAGGACGAGTCTTTAAGAGCACACCATATGTGTTAATGTGACATAAGTCTGCAAATCCTGTATGATTGTCCGTTCCGAAGAATGGGGAAGTTGACTAGTCTCGGGGGAAAATGAGAGAAATGTAAAGAGACTTGTGTTGATGACGAGAAAACATCACACCATCTCTGAATGTTGCAGAAAGGAAAAAGGCTGATTTTCCGTCCTCCTTTGAGAAGGATCAAGAAGGAAAATATCACTTTAAATTCATACTTTATCTCGGAGAAACAAAGACAACTTGGTCCATCTTATTTTTTATGCATCTTTATTTTAAGCAGTGTTCTTAAAGCCAGACTAAACTAACAGACACATTCAACTGCTAAAATGTACTCTGAGCAGAACAGTGCCACGGAGGTGAAAGTAAGTCTATTAACCACACTTTTCTCCTATCCATTTACAGCTTCAGCTTCCTCGCTTTGTTTACTGCAGGTAGAAATTGTGGGTTTATTATAGGTGGCTGACGGCAAAATTAGTCTGTATCACAAAATCTTTTCCAGTCTTTTTTTTTTTTTTTAAGAACTGTTGGAAACCACAACATCCTCAAGACCTGAAGAATGGCAAAAGCAAGCTATAAAAGCTTTGATTCATCCCTTCAGCTTTCAATTACTGAGTATGGCAGCTTCATTTTGCACTCCCGAAAGAGAAACCCCAAGAGACAAACTTGGGGATCGTGTTTTGTGGGATGAGGCCTTTTTCTGGATCGGTGTGAACAGTAAACAGTCACATCCATGTCTATTCATGTGGCTACAAAAGGTGACGGCTACCTACAGATAAATCAGATCTTTACAAGGCCCAAAGTCTGTCACCCCTCACATTTTAGCACTGGAGGGAGGAAAAGTGGACTATAAAGTATGAGATCCTAGTGGTTAATGTAGTATATAAAAAACAGATTCTGCTCTTTACAATAAAATCAAGGACAGGATTAGAATAAGGACAAAAAAATCAGCGCTTGAGCATAAAAAGGCTAAAGTTTCTTGCATAATAGTTCCTGTAAAACCTTTGGCTAAACCTCCCTTCCTCTCAGTATTATCCCACAACATCTTCCAGCGCTTGGAGCCGAGACGAGCTTCTAAACTTTCCTTCGCTTGGTCTCTTTGCTGCCAGATCACTTCATCCAGGAAAGCTGGCTGGAGCCTTCCATTCATTTTTCCATCAATGCAGCATGCTCTCTCTCGGTTTGGTTTTTCATTTAACAACACCAGCTCTACAGAGCTGATGTGGACAGCAGCTCAAAGTCAGCGGGACCCCTCCAGCTTGCTTTCCACATCCAGAACACGATCCCATCAAGTTCAGCCAAAGCCTCAGAAGCCTTTCGAGTGTATTAATTCACTGCCCACTACACAGACTTCATCTACACAGAAAACTATTTCATGTCAGGTTACAATGGCCAATTTGTTTACTGTGCACCGGACATGAATCTTTTCAGAAGTGCCGTACCTTATCCCCAAAAATAATAACCTGCTGCAACAAGACCAGGAGGAATACCAGGACGATGGAAATAATAAAAGTAAAATATGTTTCATAACAAGCAGTTTCCTCTGATCACTGTAGTTCTGCCAAACACGAGAATAAATATTCATTTGTAAGAAATCCTGACATTATGGGTTGAGATAGTATCGGGCATGAAGCCCTGTTTGGGTTGGCACTTCGATGCGTCTCTCATGACTCGTGGGTCAGGTTTTCTTGTGCAATAATGTCTCCTCCTCTCATCGTCACAAAGTTTGCCCGAGCAGCGGCAGTGAACACAACAACCCATACACTCCGTGTGAGGGAGTCATCTCCCCGACGCATCTGAGAGTCCCTGCTTTCCCACTTTTTCCTGAGCTGATTTCTTGTCTAAGTGACGCTGTGAAATCCTGACCGTTAATAAACTGTTATTACTCGGCTCTTAATCCTGCAGCATTTGGACTGAGATTGTATCCCTTACCTGGTGCCAGGTAGCCAAGATTGTAGCCATGGTTTCCATGATAACAGTGAGGTCTATAGCAAATCCTTCTAAAGTAAATATGTGGGTAGTTTGCAGCCAGGCAGGCGATCGCTTCCATGAGCACCAGAGAGAAAATCCACCATCCAGATGCCAGAGCCATGGCTGAAGAATGTCTCATCAGAAAATACTCAAAATAACAACCCCTTTTCCGATGAAGATTTCTGGTTTGGAATAAAGTGTTAAGTGCTGCTCATTTGCTGTGCTTCCTTCCATTCATCTCCTCTTCTGTCTCAGCCTCACAGCCACCCAAAACCATGTACCTCACTTGTTAAAGATCCTCCTCTTTTGTCTCTCTTTTTCCCCAAGTTGTCCTCACAATTCCCTCTCACTGCATGTCTTTGCACTCTATTTCACAAAATATATGTCAACCACCGTATGACCCACACACACACACACACACACACACCTATATTCACATTACACTAACAGAGATTTATGTAATTTTCTTAGTGATTTACTGTATTTCATTACTGGACTGCTGGATTTGACCATTTCTTCAAAGTGAGGATTTATGAGGGCACATACTTGTGCTACGAAGCTCAGAATGTGAACAGACAAAAGGATGTGCTGTCTATACTCTTTTGATATTGACGTGAATAAGCAAAAAAGAGAAGAAAAGGCCATTAAAGGAATGCCAAATTTGATAAGTGCCAGAAGTCAGATTCTGTATTTTTAATCCAAACATCTGAGAAAGGAATGAGCTTCACAGCGAAATAAGCTATTCAGGAGGTTAGCACTATGCTCTTTCATCCGTTGCCAACACATACGAACTCACCAGCAGGGCCACAGCAGCACTTTACAGAACTTAGAAAACTGTAAAAAACCTGTTTATGTTTGGGACCCCTTCTCTGATCTGGGGAGAAATGGCCTGTAGATAAATGTCCCACAGAGACCACCAGAAGATTCAATGACCGTGAGCTCAACAGTCATAACTTTTCTTTCTTTCTTAAAGCCTCTGTGTCACACACCTGCACAGAAACGCTCGAGCAGAGTCAGACCAGTAGAAAATTAATCGTTTTTTGCACGCCACATGCCAGCACATTCACAACCCGACACGTATGCATGCAGCCCGCGTTTCAGGGGTGAAGGGGAAACAAACACCTGTTGATTTTGGTTACTCGTTATGGTGACACGCGCCAGGCCCTGGCAGAGCGTCACGCTTGTAATGGCCTGAGCTGTTAAGTCTGTTTGACAGGACCGCAAAATATTCACCCTGCTAAACTGCTCTCAGCGTGACAGCTGTTACTGCTGGCCTCTTCTATTTTTACTGACGTCATATGTGTGTCAATACCTCCAGTGACACAAGAAAAGACATAACTGAAGAGAAATTTAACTGGGAGCCCCACAGGAAGCAAGGCCAGGGAATAAAACAGTAAATCTGAAATGTTTTCTGTTTGCACAAAACAAAAGTTGTACTTGTTCACTTTGTTTCTCAACCAAGGGCTGACATTGAAGTTACATGCAAACAGCCAAAAGAACAGGATTCCCCATAGTAGTAATGTGGTTATGTAAAGTCCATCTAAGACTTATTTTAGATTAATCTCCTCTGCTCTGCAGCTCAGTGGGAATGTAGAAAGCGGATCACTTTCTGCAGACACAGCATCCTTCTAACTTAACCATCTACAATGTCAAAACTTCCAGCCAGTGGCTTTTACCACCGTTAATATCTTTGCCAATTACAGACAATTAGGCCTACTGCTGTGGCCAGCCGTTTTCCAACAAACACACCAACGGCAGAGGGCAGGCGGCTATGAAAGCCAGCTGTGGCAACGTTCACATCAGCTCTCCTAATAGCCATGACCGGGATCAGATCTCTCACTGGGCTCCTCCTGCAGACAGCAACAATCTTTCTTCCAGACTTGGCTGCCGCACACGTGAATCATTACTCTGATTAAACCAACCAGTCGTGGAGATTTCCAAATCACAAACATCAAACTATGATGGAGGAGAAGAAAATCCCATGGGAAAATGCTAGGAACAAGCACTGCTTTTGGTGAGCAGAGATTGACAGTAGACTCAGAGATGTCCTCTCCTTTACAGATTCTTGAGTCATAAAACAACTGCAGCCTTAAAAATGAAAGTGTAAAAGTTTAAAGCAACTGATGCCAAGACTCATGTGACATGAAATTACATGGTTCTGATGTTATAATATAAAAATACAAAATGGGGGGCAGAATTGTAGAAGTTGATCAAAGTAAAAGTTATAAACTAAGATCAATAAAACCCATAATTGTGAAAGTGTATCCATTAGTGTTGTGGTGTGTCACTAATCAGATCTCTTAGATCTTCAAAATCTTGTCTGACATAGTAAAATGGGTAAATGTAGACAAAGGACAAACATCTAAAATGGAATTCGCTTTTTTAAACTTGTGGACCGTTTTAGGTGACAAACTATACATGCAAACTGTGACAGACTGAATAAATAAAATATCTCATACTTGGAATATTCAGATTTTTTAAATATATATAGATAAACAGCATGATACCTTTACACATCGTGACATGACTGGAGTCTCGTTTCGGTTTTATGTACTCAGGAATGTGCAATAAAGAGACCAATGTTTTGTGAACTGCAGCCTCTCTTTTCCACCTCCCATTACAAGCTGGAAACTGCCTCACATAACCATAGACGTATATGTAGCACACATGGGAACAAGGGCTTTTATGGATAATGACAGAAAAGCATGTCCTGCTATTTCACTATCCCAGTTCAAACATTTCCTACTGATCCAGATAATTTTCAGGTCAGAAGCTAAATCATTTCTCACAAAGACACTAAAGAAAGTTTAAAAAAATCAGTTGGTGTCAAACGAATAACTAGCCCAGCAGAAATTTCATATAACTCTCGGGTTAATAGCCAAGTCTTTAAAACATGAATCCATAGCGTGGAGATAACCTAGAAAACTTTATAAAATGTTGAACTCCCTCTCAAGGCAGTTTTTTTTTTTTTATGTTTTGACAAAGTGCTTATCACAATAAAAAGTGTAAAGTGTGCAACAGTCGTGGACTGATCCTTCAAATTGAAACAGGAAAACGGCAAACCTTGACATGTTTTTCCATCTTCATTTAGTTTCTGTCCCGGAGGACACCTGCAGTAGAAGCTTCCGATTGTGTTACAGCAGAGAGCCTCACAGCCTCCATTGGTCTCTTCACATTCATTCACGTCTGTTGAGAAAAAAAAAAGTTTATCATACAAATTTTGAAACCCCTAAAATAAATACAAAGGTTTGTAAGGTTTAATTAAATGGTCTTTTAGCATGTTTAATATTTTGCTTATGTTCAGACGTAAAAAATATCTCAATCTGACATATTTCAAGTTCATGAGCATTAGTGTGGGACACTGATTCCTATGTTTCCATCCTTTAATCATTCTCTTCAAGGGAAAAAAACATATATTCAAGCCAAAACAAAAAAAACATATCCAGTGACAAATTATGTAGGACCATAGGAAACATGGAGCTGGGACATTTTAATCTGATTGCCTTTAGACGTGAAGCAAGACTTGTTTTCATTCATCATGGAGAAAATCCAAATATGTCCACATGAAGTTGCAGCTTTCCATTTCCATTAGCTAAATATGCTGCCAACACTGTCATCAACTAAACCAGATAAAAAGTATCCCTGTAGTTCCCAAACCACACATAATGACCAGGGTCATACACTGGCGTTGACAGGTCTGTCTACCATAATTGGAGCTGCAGAGAATCTGAAAAATAAGCAGATATTAAAATTGAGTATGAAATGAAGAAAGTGTGGTGGATTATCCAGTTCTGCGCTGGGTCGTCAGAACACAGACACGCATTCCCTTCCTTGACATTTCACGTTGTCCACACAGGGCTTTGTCAGAGGAGATTAGGCTCACCAAATAGTTTATACTTGATGACACTGGGCTGTTTTATTTGGTATGCCAGCAGATGTAATCTTGAACTGAGAGTTGAAAGTGGTGAAGCAAATCAAGGAAGAACATTAACTTGGCATGATCAACATAAAAATATCTTCATGCCTGTAAAAAAGAGAAGTTCTTGTGCAGATAGAGAAAAAAAATGGAAAAACAAACTTGGACAATGTAAACGCAATGCCAATTTTTTTGTTTCTTTTTTAAAACCAAGCAATTGAACTGATTTCCTTATTTTGAATTGTGGACATTGAAAATAATGAACTCTTTCTATTTTTATGTGGTTAATAAATACAAAATCCTGAAAGGAATAAAATATTCTAGGATCTATCACGTTTATCCTCCAGAAAACCTTTTTTGTTTTGTTCGACAGTGAATCAAACAACTGAAGTCGATTATTTCACCAGTCCATAAGAATATGAGAGCAACCATTTTTCATTGCACCACTTCTTCACAGGAGTTGGATTTAATTTATCTGGTTCATTACAGTGCAGCCATGAGTACACTTTACTTAATATGTAAAATAAGCACTGCAATTGCAGATTAGAAGAAAACACCCTAGTCACGGAGCCCCTACGGGATGCTACGCCTACACCGTAACCGTGTTTGGCTAGCATGCATACGATACCCCTCCCAATGCCACCATCAACCCCCCAGGCCACACACCTGTGTAGCAGCTTAAGCAGAGGTCTGCTTGGGGTCAGTGTCACGCTCAGAGTTCCCAGCATCTTTCTGCCCAATAAGAGAGGAGGAATGTTTAACTGCTGCAGGTCAGCAGAAGAGACAGAGCAAGAGGAGAAAACTGAATATCTGTGTCAAATTGGGTACCTTTTTACTTTCAAATAGTTCACTGGGATGATTTATTTTTACCATCGTGCCAACAGTTTAACAAGACCAATATGATGTCTAGATGGGAAAAGAAAAAAGACGACTGGCATGGGAACACAGACAAGTTGTACAACGAAAAACCTTTGCTTGTAGAAGGTTTATGCTATAATAACATTCAATATTGCAATCTTTTGTTATTTTATTAAACAGTCAGGTTTCCATTCAACTAAAAAGCAAATATGAAGCAATGGGTTGATAAGTGGTTTAATTTCTCCTAAATTTTCACATCAGTTTTGTTGAATTTTTTCTTATTTATCCCTCTAAACTTCAAAAACATCTTTAAAAAGCTGCTAGTGAGGAGTAAATTTAAAACATGCAAAACATATCTAAAACTCTGGCATAAGACAGACACACACAAAACAAATCTCCAGAAAAAAATAACCCTGAGACTTAAACTCAATGATCTCTGAAGCCAGGTGGCTGAAAGAAAGGCAACATTCTTTTTTAATGTTATGTCCTTTCTTTTTTCTCCAGTCAGCAGTACAGAGCTCCCGCCCATCCATCAATCCATCGCCTAGCTAAACCTCCAGCGGTGTTACCAGACGCAACTATGGGTACGAAGCAAGACACGGTGCTTAAACACCAGTCTCTTCCTGTGAACATTAAATCAGCATGTGGGGGTGTTGGAGCGCACAATCTCCCAGAGGAGGATGGATGCCTGGAGCATCGCCGTCTGTCTGCAGTCCAATTTATGCCCTCGGTCTGAGTCAAAGGGCAACACTCAAGGTTGAACCCATGATGGAAGGATCACATTAGACTTTGTGGACACATATTCAGAAATGTATTATGGGGCACATTAATCTATTTGGCAAGAGAAAAATCCCGCACAGATCATTCATAGCATTAGGGGCTTTAGACCTTCCAAATTTCAGGGGATTAGTTTACCAAAATATTATTAGGAAGACATCATACCCCAAATACATTTTTAAGAGGAACGTCTGAGCTGTTAAATATAATATCCGAGTTCATGACTGCAGTCAACAAATCTCAGTCAGAGATGCCAGGAACCCCTTGTGATGTTTTTAAAAGTAGAAAAACTAACCTTAGGCCCGCAGAGGAGATGCTCAGTTTACTGTAGCATAGAGCATGGGAACAGATTCCTTCATTATTATGAAAATATATGTTCTGTGTATGACAACTTACAGTACACAGTTTATGCAAATGTCAATTATATTAAATACATTTATCTGTATCATCTTTTCGGGCAGTAGTTGGTGATTTCCTATCGTATTGTGATGGATTTCAGGTTTTCTGTTGTATCTGCAGCAGACATGGATTACCTTATCTGACACTAAAATAACAGTTAATAAACTAATTAAAAGGAAAAGCACATTTCCACAACACTACCTAAAACGTACTGTGTGACAGTGACTCAGGTCTTAAACCACTGGCTAAACTGACAAAATTGGGAGGACCTTAAATGCACCCAAAGACTGTTAAACAATGTCTTGAGAGGATCCTCTGCAACAAACACAAAAAAAAGTTTAAATATGGAGTTTCTGTGCATTGTTCTGCCAGAACAGCGCAAATGTTGTGAGAACTAAAGAAAAAAAACCAAGCATATCTGTGGTGCTCTGCACCCAAGTAACCTGAAAAACAATGAGACAGTCAAATCTTCGCAACAACTTATGACGATGTTTCTGCAAGTTCAGCTGCAGCAGGGCTCTGGTTTACATTCCTCTGCTGTATTGTGTGACTTCCTCCGATAAGGATGACCACCACCGCTCCCCGGAGGACGGGCCTGATGTCTCGGCTGACCGTGAGGGGTTTGCCAGCCAAAGAAAACTGACACACTACTGATACTATCTCCGAGGGTTGTTTGGGAAGGGGGGGCGAAAAAACTGCAATCCTCATTCAAGTATCACGAGCTGGGGAGCTCTAGCCTGTTTTCCTTTTAGGGCCCTGATCTAGAAGCCTTCTGGTGCGTTAATGTGCGTTTCAAATGTTCATTCCTGCTTGCATTCCCTGCCGTCCTCACAGCTGGTTTCAATTACCAGGTGCTTTAAAGACGGGGACTACTCCATGGGACGCTTTTGAGTCAGAGGTTTTGTTCACAGAAGACTCAGACGAGCATGTCCCTGCCGCTGACCTGCACATGTGGAAACTAGTGAAACGTGAGCCATAAACGTGTTCAATTACTAAAGAAATCATTTATCAATTAGAGCTGACAATTTACATCACACCTCACAAAAAAAAGTATCTCCACCTTTGACCTCTCGTGTCAGTGACGGCTGAAGATGCGTATCACAAGGGGCTTCTTCTGTTCGCCATTGTACAGACAGCAAAACAAACCTTACGAGACTTTGAATTTGGGAGGGATTTTTAAAAATTAAATTAGATACCATAGAAATAACAGAATGCACATAAAAGATAGCATTTTGGCTAAAAATGGTTCCCACTCCATGCTTACATGGGTTGAAGAGTCTCAAAACAGAGATGATCTTACCAACTGCTGATCCAGGATTTAAAGACAGACAACATGGAAACAAAGCAGAGATCAACTGGAGCTGTTTCACTACGAAAGACAGCTACTTGACAGGTGGCCATTTAATGGAAGTCTCATCCTGAGTTCAACATTGCCCCCTGCTGTTATATCTCTACTTCCTGAATAACAGCCCAGATGTGCAGCTGAATGTTAATGAAGTTGACATTATGTGATTGTTCTCCACTCTTATCAGTCACAGCTGCCACCCTATAATAATTCACCATCAAAGTGGGCCACACTTTTCATGGTCCCTGTTCTTGTAAAACATTTTTCACTTGAGTTTACCACACTTTTTAAAAAGACTTTTCTATACCAGTGAGCTATGTAAGCTGTGGCCATTAATTTCCTCTGTTAGTACCATATGATGCCTTTTTGATGCCAGTTTTGAGCTAGAGTTTCCTCCTGAGGGCCTGTAATTGTGGACAACGTGGCAGTTAAGTGAGAGAATGACTGGAAGTGATGCGGTTTCCCAGGAACCAAAGAGGTTAAAAATGTCCCTGCAATGAAAAGACTAACCACACACAGACCACTCTGATGTATATCTATTCATGTTTAAGGTGTCTAATAGCAAGCCCTCAGCTTCTATGAAGTAATCAACAATCTGATTTCAATTTGGTGGTGGGGCTGGGTGGGTGTTGCGGATTGGAATATATAGATGACTTACAAGATAAGAAATGACATTTTTCCCTGTTACAACAGAAATAAAAAATTAACTGACTGACTAACTTAATTGGCTTGCATGCAGTCAAATTTATCGACAATTCAATAATTAAGAATTATGCCCGTCATTAAATTCAAATGTTAACACTCCATATTTTATACACCTAATCATATCAAATATGGTCTTTAGTTGAGCTGCTGTAAGAAATTGATTTGTAATTCTAGAGGAAATCAAAA